TTAATAAAAGAATAGAATGGCCAGAAATTCCATAAAGTAAGCAAAGAATGCTATTCTTTTCATTCTAGCCAAATTCAAAGAGAAAAAAATATTAATTGCATATACACCTTAAATTACTCGTAAGAGTCATCGCGAAAAGTTAACGCGAAAAACCCTACTGCAATAATTACAACAATATATATTTCAAAAGCAAAAATGGATTAAGTAAAGACTAAAAAAATTTTTTATAATCAAAACTTTAATATAATGTACGGAATCAAAAACATTTTAAAGCCAATGAAATTATATACAAAGAATTGCAGAAAATGGTAAATTAGCCCAATTCGAGGTTTCCTACGGACTTATCAGGGAAAAAGCGCAAGAAAACTCTAATTTAGCTAATTTCCTTGGCGCGTTTTGTCAAACGAAAGCAACTGAGACAGAAAGCGGAATTCATTAATAAATTCATCAAATTAAATTATCTTAACATTGTGAAGTCTCAATGGCTTAGCTTCTTTTCCCGACGCGCCTGCAATTGAAATTAAAATTACACATAAAAAAAACAAAACAGAATACAAGAAAAAATTTTGGTTAAAAAATTATTTAAAACTTCCAACTGAAGCACGAAACACCTATACTAAGTAGCCTTGGTTGGCAAATGTACAATTTATAAATAAATAGATTAAAAGCTATTAGTCGAAAAAATACACAATTTTAAGGGTAAATAAAAATAACAAAAATAATGACAAACTAGGGTCCTGCTATGACCAAAGGCAAAGAAAAGTAGAAGAAAAAGACTAACATACCTGCGTCCTATGCTATTGCATTTTCAAATAAAAGTGAGCAAATATCGCTAAAAAAAGGTTGCCATAATTAGATTAATTCCAAAGACATGTTTCCAGAATAGAAAAGCAGTCAAAATTCACCAATTAGGCGAGACGATGTGAAAGGGGGGAACAAACGTGGAAAGGCAGTAGCCAATAGTACTAAACGGTCAGTGGGGGAAAACACACGGTTCAAAAGGGGGTTTTTCGAAGGTGGAAGACGGATGTAACTCTTACAAAATGGCGTCCTATTCAAGATTAAGTCGTTTAAAAAGTGAAGACAATTACAAAATGGTGAAAATCAAAGAAAGTGCTAATCTGGCAAGGGCGTACAAGCGTGTTCAAAATGAAACTGGCCTTTAAAATTAATGAAAGGGTAGGTTTGGCTAGAAAATAGTGATACTAAACAGTAAATTTAATCAATTAACTGATGTTCTAGCCAATTTAAGAGAGAAAAAATTGATTCAGAATTAAGAAACTATGTTACATTTTTACATCAGATCACTTGAATTAGCCATGCATCATCTACCTTCCCATTGGATTCGGCTAAAAAATTTCATATCTCCAATCCAATTAATCTAAAATAAAAGGTAAATGACAACTTTTTTAAGGATTTTTTAATGATTCATTTTGGAATAAGATTGCTTTGTAATATTTTAATGAAGTAGAAAAATTCTTCTTGGAGAAGGTTAGCGTTATTACAGATTCTTTTGATTCTGAGAAGTTGTGAATTAATAGTATTAATAATGACCCTTTTAGAAATGTTAGAATTCCAGATAGTGAGTGAGTGCATGAAATTTGAAATCTCTGCGTTTGTCAAAAATTTTAATAAGATTGTAATTAAAAATTTGAAGATCTAGGTAAACTATATCATCTTGTATTGCAAGAGTCGTATCAAGCTTGAGTGCAGTATAATAAATATTGGCATTTTCTAGTTTGTTGAAGTTGTTAAAGGCAATAACATCATCAATATATCGAAAGATGTCTGGTAATACTTGTATTCTTCATCATTAAGTGAACGTATAAATTTAAATTCTTGAGTAAAAAGGAAGAGCCCACCGATTGCAGTCGAGCAAATGCCTCCCATAGGAATTCCTTGTACTTGCTTAAAGATAGTGCTATCAAATTGCAAATAATTGTTAAAAAGTATACTATTGAGAAAAAGTTTCCATTCTTCTGGAGTAACTATTGTAAAGATCTGTAGAAGGAAATTAGGGAGAGTAAGCAGGCTACTTTGAATTTCTTCTAAAGGTAAAGTTGTATAGAGGCTGCTGGAACGATTTGATTTTTTTACTTATAACGTGCTGTGCCCTTAGGCACTATACGGGAAGGGAGGAATGCCCGTGCAGGTCTTTTTAAGGTTCTTTTTAAGGTTTTTACACATAGGGGAAAAACCAGGAAAACGCCTATGCAGCCAGCCCATTCACCGACACTCGAACCATAGACCGAACTACTAGTGTTCAGCGGCTTTGACCGCTCGGCCGCTGGTGGGCCAACGATTTCATATTATTGTATAAATCAGGAAAAATCTGGTTTTCACCTTGCAATCTCAAAATTCAATTCCATCATATGTTTTGTCAAATAGACATAGAATACGAACTTAAACAGCTGTTCGCTATTTTGTAATTCGGTAAGAGGGCGATGCTTTTCAGTAAAAAAATTTCGATCACTGTTCGAAGTTCGAAAAAGCGCTGAAGAACTTTTATGTAACTAAGCCTGTAGGGTTTGCCTTATTTTGCATAACAAATTATTTTAAGTTTAGTACCTTTCGTAAACGTCTCCCTTTCCCCTCGCATTTCCTCACCAGGATGAAAATTTAAAGTTAAATGAAGTGAGTATTTAAACGAGTGAATCTTGTACTTTATTCAGTCTTGTTTCATCAAAGAATTTAAAGACAACAGCAGTGAAGCGCTCACAGAGTCAGTCACCTTCCCTTCTTATGGGAATATACATTTCTACGGATATTATAACTCGCCCAACAGCATACTGAGTGATACGATTTTGAATAATCTTCTCCCCAGTGATACTCAAGCTATTCTGGCGGGGGACTTAAAGCAAAACATTCTGTCTGGAATTGTCGTCGCAGCAATGCGAACGGTAAATTCTACATGACTACATCCTCAGTCATCCAGTGGTTATCCTCGCACCTAATGAATATACATACCGACCTGACACAATCGAGAGATCGGACATTTTGAATATTTTTCTATCTACAATGACTATGCCGATGCTTCTCACGGTAAAGCATGAGATGACATCTGATCACCTTCCTCTTATAGCAATGCTAGGTGTTTCAAAAATGAACTGTGCAAATACTAGGACTGTAGCTGATTGGTGTTTATTCGAAAATTTGCTGCAAAATAGAATTGTGCATTTTATTGATTTAAGTACTGTGACCGGAATTGACTCTGCCATTAATTCGTTCACCTCGCATATTAAAATAGCCGAGGAAGCCAGCGATAAAATTCCCATTAGCGACAATTTATATCGCTTGCCTAAAAACATCAGAGGCATGATGAGACAGCGTAACAGGCTTAGGAAGTAATATCACGTGACTTGGGATCCGTGTACCAAACGAGAATACAACAGGATTAATAAAAGAATTAGCAAGGCTATCAAACTTTATAAAGAAGAATTATGGACAGAAAAGAATGCTCAGTTTAAACGTAAAAGATGGTTTCTTCTGGACTTTAATTAAAAATTTGAAGACAAACCCTTCTCCACGAACTATCCTCTTCATTGTAATAACTCTGTAGCCTCATCTAATCAGGAAAAAGAGCTGATATGTTTGCCTCCCACCTTCAAACTCAATTTATGCCTAATTACTGCCCAGTGACTCCTGAGTTTGAAAAGGATACACTAATCAAAGTTCGAGACTGGCTGAACGCACCAACAGCCAAAATTATTTGTAAATTAACTACTCCTGCTGAAGTTTCTGATATCATAAGAAAATTACATCCAAAGAAAGCACCGGGAATCGACTGTATCACTAACAATACCTTAAAACATCTCCCGAGTAACATCATCACCAAAATTACTAGCATTTTCAATGCTTGCATTTCAAACTCTTACTACCCCAACCCCTGGAAAGTTGCAAAGATCATCATGATACCCAAACCGGGGAAAAATCAACTTCAACCAGACGGATTTCGCCCAATAAGTCTCCTCCCGAGCCTAAGCAAAGTCTTTGAAAGAATTCTACTGGAAAAAATTGAAATCTTATCTCATTTTACTGTCCCCTGAACAATTTGGGTTCAGAGCTCACCTTTCAACTTCCAAACAACTAGGAAGATTGACTGAGTTTATAGGCTCAGCTCGTCACTGTAATCAAAATGTTGCTATCCTCATGCTGGATGTGGCGAAAGCTTTCGACCGCGTCTGGCATGAGGGTCTCATAGCGAAACTTATTGATTTCAACTTTGAACGTGAGCTCCTGCTAATTATTTTCTCTTTTATCACCAGCAGAAAATTTCTGTTCTGTTCACGGTGCCTTCTCTTCAGAACGTCCAATTCACAGTGGAATTCCTCAAGGGAGTGTTTTAGGTCCAATTTTTTCTATCTCTTCTATGCTGCAGACTTCCCTTCTGTACTCTACAACAATAACTCAATTTTAGCTTGTTACGCAGACGACACTGCTTTGGCGGTGAAATCTGCAAATGTGAATCATGCAGTTAAAAAACTCCAAGACCACATCCCTCTCATAGAAGACTGGTGCAAAAAGTGGAAAGTATAAATTAATGCATCCAAGTTTCAACTACTCATCATCAGAAAAAAGAAAACTAAAAAGAACCTCAAGAGGCAACTCCTATTGTTTAATGAACCCATACCTGTTGTGAAACATGCTGAATACTTAGGAGTTACCCTGAATAGTAAAATGACATGGACAAACCACATTAATAATGTGAGAAATAAAGCCATCTACGTAATAAAATGCTTGCATCCTATGTTAGGACGCTTTTCAAAACTTGATCTCACTAAAAAGAGATTAATCTATCTCTCAACTATTCGTCCTATCATGATGACGTAAGCCTCAGCAGCCTGGACTCCTATGACAAAAACTGACTTAAACAAGCTTCAGGTTGTGCAAAATCGTTTCCTAAGACTGATAACTAGTGCTCATTACTTTGTGCGGAACGAAGTACTCCACAGGGACTTGAAAACAGAGCCACTGGATACTTTCTTACGCATAAAGCCCGTTTACACTAGCGGAACTTTGGTCCCAAGAAGCGTAAGCTAACGTCCTAAGAAACGTAACCTAAGTCGAGCGGTTAATCTTCAAAGGGAATTGACGTAAACCCAAGAGATGGAAAATTTTAACTCCGAACCTATGAGATGAAAGCTTTGGCCAATCACAGACTTACAAACTATCACGAGGGTTTTGTTGATGCTTTAAGCGAAAAACATGGCTGAAAATTTGATTACGTCTGACTGCAAATTAATTGCAGAAGTACGACAACATCCGATTTTATGGGATAATAGAAAAAAAGAATATCGAATGAAAAGAGGACAAGACGTTGCTTGGCTACTGGTTGCCGAAAGACTGAACCGAGATGGTATGTATCCATTTATTTATTTTTTTGCTCCTTTCGGATTGCAATGTGCTCTCTTTTATTCTAGTTCTCTTTCGGCTAACGCAATTGTTCAAGTACAAAATAGGTTTAATAACGATTACACGATAAAAATTTGTTGACATATGTTAAATTATAGCATTTTAGAACATTTCTGAAAATCTGAGTTTCATAAAATTTAAATAAGCTCAGTAGATGGATTTTTTTTAAATTAAAGTTTATTAACTGCTTTAAAATGTATCTAAATGTACACTGTTCTATGAAAATTATATGCAGCAACCTTCAATTATATATATTTAAAATTTTTCCCAAATTATAGCAATTCAGATGATTACATAATTTTAGCTATTGTCTTTACATTAGTTTGCTCTTCTTTTTTGCAACATGTTACTGAAGGCTTATGAGAAGAAGAAAGTAAAAGTAGTAAGTGTGAAGATCAACAGTAGTAAAAATTTGATTAAAGTTTTCCTCCTCAATTTTCAGAAATACATTTTCTTCATTTCTCATGCAAATGTTTATTCCGAAATACATAAAAAATCCCTAAATATATAAATATCCATATATATAAATATATAAGATCCATATTTCATTTTCGTATGGATACATTTTGAATCTCATATAATTAGTATAATTGTTTGCATAAAATATTAATAATTAAACAGTAATTAATTACAGTGGTTGAATTAAAATTTCGGCTATATTTTTTTTTAATTTCACAGTTGAAGAGGTTACTTACCGGTGGCAGAATCTGCGTAAGCAATATAGCCGAAGAAAAACAAAATGCAAAAGTGGAGCTAGTGCAGAGTCTGCAGAGCAGCAATGGCATCTGATGCCCCAAATGTCATTTTTGGATCCATGTATCCGCCATCGAAGGTAAATATTCAGAACCAAATTATTTAGTTATGTTAAATATAAAATGATAAATTTTCATATTAACAAAATACAATCTTACTTGTTAGTAGTCTGTAATATTATAAAGCATAAATGGATTATTTGGAGTTATCCTAGGTTGACTAGCAATCAAAAATTGTAACTTTATTGATATAAATTTATTAAATATGTTAGATAGTCACATATGTGGATATAAACCAATTTACTTAAGAAATTCCTCCCCTTAGGCAGATATGCTTTGCCATAACTCAAATTCTATCCAAATATTTACGCTCTGGAAAACAAAAACTTCTCCTACACAATTTTTTTTTAACATTTATTGCCTCATCACTCGTTATGAATGGTTTAAACACCTTGTAAATGTGTTGTAATAAAACTGTATTACACATTATAGTTTTTTTCTAACGTGTTTGGGCCAACTGAAGTTCTTACCCTTAAAAAATGTTGTAGAAACTTTGCTGTTCTGTACTTTTTTAATCTTCCCAATTAAAAATAGGCCAATATTTTTGCAATGTAAACTTATTAACAAAGTACAGCATATGCATAATATAAACAAAGCACTTGCTCTTTCCTTTGAAAGCTGAGTTTCTAAATATTTTGATGAAGACTCGTCTGTATATGTTTTTTTTTTCTTTTTGTGGCCAATTTCTTTTTATAGTTTATCCCTCTATAGTTGATGCCCATATTTCTGTACTCACACAGCTCAAAACTGATGTGTTACTGACCATTTTGATGTTCAGAAGTTAGTGTTTGAGATTATGCATACCTGCTTTAATTTTATGAAGTTACTTTGCACTTAACACATAAAGCCTGGGATTAATTATCATAATATATACCATCAGATCAAGGAGTTGTGCTTAAATTATTACATTAATTCATAATGAAAATAAATACAAAAGTATATATGAAACTGAATTAAAAAATGAAGTTGTAATACTTTATTACTGAATTAACTGTTAAAATCTTTCATGGCATGAAATTTTTCAAAACAGTCCCCAAAGTATAGTGATCTTTTTTTATTTATAGAATGTGAAATGTGTAAGCCAAGATTATATAAAATTGTCTTAAACTGTAAGATACAAAAAATTTGATAAAATTCTCTTGTGATTGTGTTTCTATAAAAAGAAATAAGAGTTATTAGTGGCTCAATATTTTCATTTATTACGTAAGGGCTTTGTATGCATATTCAAAATTTCTTCAATGAAGGCAAGAGATTCTTCTTTTTCATCTAAAATATTGATTTCTTTATAATTACTATATGAAGTCATTTAAAGTCATCTCTATTTAGGGCATACTACATTATTGTTACTGTCAAAAACACTACTGTCATCACAACTGTTAAATTGCAGCCTCCAATAGTAATATTTACATCCATGTTATTTAACTCATAATCCCGCTCATCTTCACTACTATAAATTTGATTTTCTATGGCATTAATATAAATAAATGTTACATTATAAATAACATTTATTTGGATTAATGAGAAGGATGAAACTGTTTGTGCTGAGATGACAGATTGTCATAATTTTGTTCCCTGGTTGTTAATTTTAATCTGAGATGCGATTCCACGTCCAATAATCTGTTCCATTTTTTCATCTTAATGTCTACAAATACAGTCAAATACCGAAAATCCGCCAACTCCTGAAATCCGCGTTGCCTCTCAGAATATAAGCATTCAGTTTATATTCTGAGTTTCTTGGTTTCGGAAACCGCAACATTGAGTACGAAATATCGAAGAAAAAATACTTACCGAATAATGACGTCATAATAACTGAATAATAATGAGTCATAATGGAAATACCAAAATTTTTGACATAAAAAGTTTAAGAAAAAAGATAAGTTTTTTTTCCTTCTAATCTGCATCGAGGTAAAAAAGCAGACGATTCACTCTTTGTTCAAGTTCATGATTCAGGTTGTTGTATTTTCTGAGCTTTGTTATTTTCACAAGATTGTTTAGTGCTGCCTTTTTTTTTTATCCGGATATTTTGTGGATAAATTAAGAATATTTTAAATTTCAGTCCTTGTTAATACAATGACAGATAAGAAACACACTCATGATTTTACTGCTTGCAACTTTGAAAAACGTAAACACGTTGCATTGACAGTAACGCAAAAAGTGCAAATTAGATGGAGGCAGGTGCTACTCCTCTATATAGCAGAATGGTATGGAATTGGGACATGATTGTGTATGATATACGGAAAAATAAAGAAAAGCTGTTGACATTTTACAGCAACAGTGATTCTAACGCTGCAATCCGAAATCTTTGCATGAGGCGAAATCGGCAAACCTCGATGCTGTGTACATATAATTCAATGAATAATATAATCATATATGTAATAATAATTTAATGCATATAATAAATTATTGCAGTAATGTATGTAATTTAATTAAATGTATCTAATACACCTTATTTATTTTGCACCATACGTCGGAAAATAAATTATTCATGTCATTTTGCCTTCTCCATATTTGTACGATAAAATTATTAGTGAGTAAATATGACAATTTGGTTGTATATTGCAGTACAAAAGATTCAAAGAGTGATGATGATTTTACCCCTCCCCATATTTGATAAAATATTATTTTAATTAAAAACAAAATGTGATCCAGCATTGCTCCAAGAACGTAATGACTAGGAATTACCCCATACAACTGGATGTAACAAACTGTATTTTTTTAGAAATTATTCTTGCAAATATTAATAAACACAAAATATTATGTAAGAAAAGAATCCAATGGGATGTTATAATTCAAATTAACAAAAAAAGGCTTTTTAGTTTCAGGTAATCACACTGAAGCAAGAAGACTCTTGGTTTACATTATTTTTCATGCTAAATTTTAAGATCTATTTAAATTGTCTGCAGTTCATAAGTAATAAAACTTAAAACGATTTAATGCAGTAACAAATAAGATTCTAAATTTGCTTATTTCACTACCTAATTACAAAATAATATGTTTTATTTTGTATCACAAAATAATCATTAATGTATTAAAAATATTTTTCATATGCATTTGATTTTTTTCCTTGTTTTCTTTCTAAACAGGACACAGGCAAACTTTCAAGGAAACAAAGAATTCGAGGAGCTTAATTTCACAGTAGAATCTGTTGTCTCCGAGTCTTCAGATAATATTGAATATCCGACAGAACCTGAATATGTGGAGCCATCTGTTATTCACGTTATGCCCTCATGTGAATCACCTTTATCACCTGCATCAAGCTCCAGACAAATCTTAGATAACACTAATTCAAATAATAATGATGAAAATACTCCTAGAGGGAAGAAAAGAAAAAAGAAAGAAACAGTTGAAAGTTCATTGCTTTCTGTTATTGATGAAACAAGTAAATATTTAAAAAATCACCATCGATGTGAAAATGATGATGACGATGATGATAATTTATTTTTATTGAGTCTCCATAGTGATTTGAAAAAAATGACCGATGAAAAAAAATTGGAAACGAAAATACAATTTTTACAAATTATGGCAAGAAATAAATGAAATTATTTGTACATAACACTAATCAGTTGTTTTATTGTTTTATTTACATATTTCATAAATATTTTCAAAAAATAAATTTACACAAGAAATGCTTTCCTTTCTTGCCATGGTACTGCTCCTTCTGCAGAAAAATATTCACAAAAATTATCTCGAACTGCAGATGCAGCACGGGATGAATTATTGGCCCCTAGACGGCCAAGAGGTTGCCATGTAAATTCTTCTGTTCTCCACATACCTTCTTTAATGGTGGCATTTGAAAGAAGAGAATCAGCAAAGTTCACTGGACAGTATTTCTTAGCTGCCTTTCCCAACTCATTTTTCATTAAGTAATTATGAAGGCAACAGCATGCCAAAACTACTTTATTAGCATGCTCTGGGTTCAGGGCAATTTCAGTACGAAGTACTCTCCACCTAGACGCCAATATGCCGAAAGCATTTTCAACGCACCTCCTTGCTCGAGAAAGTCTGTAATTAAAAATTTTTCTTTCATTCGACAGAAATTTGCCAGGATAAGGGCGTAAAATATTTTTCCTGAGTGGAAAAGCCTCATCTCCAACAAATACAAAAGGCAAAACTCGATCACTATTTAATAATGGTGTTGGATTTGGCAATGAAAACAAAGTTTCACTAACCAAAGCTTTACCTAGTGAACAGTTACTGAAAATTCCACCATCACTGATGCGTCCATAGTTGCCTGAATCAACATAAAGGAAAGTGTAACTAGCATCTGCCACTGCCATTAGGACTATGCTGTTATAGCCCTTATAATTATAATATGTTGATCCAGCTGACGGTGGAGCTTGTATTCTGATATGCTTACCTACAAGAAAAAAAAAGCAACAATTATTAATTGCCTAAAGAAAAATAATATACACTTTAATGATAAAAATTAATATAAATACTTTTTCCAATAATAAATTCAGTTCTTAAAAAAGTTCTTAAATTAGAAACTTGCAAAAAAATTCCTTTTTATATTAAAATTTGTTTTTCATTTCACACTTTCATTTATTTATTATGAAACAATTCCAGTCTTTTGATATTTTAAGACAGCTCATATATCAAGTTAGATGATTCTGCAATATTTTATATTTATCTTTGAAAAGAATCTTCATTTGCCTAATTTTAATATAATGCAGTTTTTTTTGTATTTCAAAAGTACTCACTGACAAATAAATATGGAATGCAAGACATAATACATACCATCGATTGCACCAACACAGTTGGGAAAATTCCATTTATATTCAAAACCTTCTGCTATTACAGCCCATTCATCTGATGATGCTGGTATAGCCATAACCAGTGGCTGTAAGACTTGCCATATGACATCACAGGTCTCTCGAATAATATGTGAAACTGAAGATTTAGAAACACGGAAAGTGTATGCCAGGTCTGTATAATTAGTTCCAGATGCTAGAAATCTACAAAAACATTCTGAATCAATAATTAAATTTTTGCAGTTTTAAAAACATGTTGTATAAAAATGAACAAAGGGCAATCTGTAGCAGTATGCAAGTTTTAAAAAAGGTTCTTTTTTTTTGGGGGGGGGGTCAGTTTCAAAGAGATTGCAATTTTCTTTCTTATTATTAAACCATAGAAAATAAATGCTTTATTTATGTAACTTATTTTGATAAAATTATTCATAATTTTTTAAATGCATTACAAATTTTAAAAAAAAATGAATTTTAAAAAGTTCAATTAGACAGAAGTATAAAATGTTCTGACAAGAACATTAATTTTCAATTATATATACTACACAAAACTGGAATTAGATGTAATAAAGACTTTCAAATAGAGCTGGTGCCAGAGCATATGCAACCAGTGTGACCACACCAGATGGCAAAATTATTAGAATTTAGGAAGGAATCAGGTGGCAGAATTTCAGGATTTGTGGAGTTTGCACCAGGCGGTAAATTGTCTAGCGTCGACACTGCTTTCAAAACAAATGTATATATTTATATTTACCTTAAACAGATGGCAAGTCTCTCAGACGCTGAAATTGATTTCCTAAAACGTGTTTCTTGCTTCTGCTTCTGTAGTTTATCTTGCAGTAAATGTAGAAGATGATCATATTGTTCTCCCTACATGTAAATTCAATAATATTATACTTATGAGTAAATTGAACATCAGAACTATATTTAATTATCTAATTAATATAAAAACAAATACAAAAATAGTTTATATTGTGCTAAAATGATTAGCCAAAGTAAGAGAAAATAATTTTGTTGTCTTGAAAAATTGCTTGAAGTATAATCTTACTATTTCTAACAATTAACACTTTTAGCGATTACTCGCATGTTATTAACAAAAATAACATAAACTCCATAATTAGAAATGATTTCAGCCTTCTGTGAAGGTGATGACTTTCAACATGATTATTTGATTATGCACCACACACTAGGGTTACCTGCCTAAAGGTAACCCTACTAACCTAAATAATGTCATCAGGAAGATTTTTTAAGGTAAACTAATTTACATTTATATCTTGGACAGATATGCACAAAATGCCTATGTTCTAAACCCTTTCATCAGGTATTGAACAATTAATGTTCAGTGTTTTTATTTATTTAGCCACCGACGGGATATTATAGCAACCTTCAGAGAATATAGTTATCTGTGATTGTCATTACCAATGTTTGTTTATATTCTCAGGAATACTTTTGACTATTGAAGGTGCTCAACATGAGGGGCATCACTATATACTTATATTGCCGAAATATATACTGTGTTGCTGCAACTATGATCAGTGAAAAATATTCAGTTATTTATCTTACAAATTTGAAAAAATAAAATATGATAATTCTGATTAAAAGGAAAATTACTCTCCATTTCAATTTCACTCTTATACTCTAACAATTGCTTAATTTTTCAGGTAGTAGAATTTCATTAAATAATCTATTTTGATACAATTATTCTTACATTCTTTTAGAGGTTAAGTGTTTTTCATCATATTACTACAATATTCTCCAAAAATGATTTTTTAAAATATTGACATGATTTAATTTTATTGCTCATTTGTCAAATATAAAACACAGGTGGAACAGGAATGCAGAAAATCTTTTAAAAGCAAGTCTTTTTATGGATCTCCCAAATTCTCTAGAATATATTATTTAAAAGCCTAATTATTTTATATTTCTGGTTCTACAAAAGTATTTTCATGACAAAGTGAAGCAATACTAATAAAATTTATGACAGTAATAATTAAAAAATCTACGGATACAGAATGCTGGGTATTTTCTAACAGAGGAACATATCCTAATACACGATAGTGCATTAAAATGTTGACTGTCCAACATCTGGCACATCTAGTAATTTTACATTATACTCCATCTGATATTATGTTTCATTAAGGTAATCGAATTATAAACAACCTTCATTAATAATGCGCTTAATAAACCAATTAACTAATTAAACTAATTAGTTATAACTAATGCTAGTCCATAATTATATAAAAAATCATTTTGTCGGTAATTAAATCGCAATGTAATCATTAATCCTATTTCCTTAGTATAAATTACTAAGGAAAAAAATTACTAATTTAGCTGATATATAAAAAGAAATATTTGACAGTCTTTCCTTCAATTTTTACTTTCAGGTTTTGCTAAAAAATAAAATAACTTACCGTCATTCGAGTATAATTGAAAAATAATTCTGGGTACTTCTGCCTCAGTGATGGAAACAATGCTGCATGAGCGGAATACGTATCTCGCTCTTGAAATATTGACCGAACCCATTCCCGCCTTGGAACGCAAACGCTTTTGTACAGCAAATACATACATATTAAATTACTTCTCAAATGCATAACGCGCTTTCTTTCTTCAGCTTTTTTAACTTTAGACATTCTACCGCCAACTTTGGATATTGTACCCCAAAATAGGAAATATTGCCCATGCGCAAATCAAAGCGACTTTTATTGGTTGGGGGTAGTAATTCTTAGGCTTTGAGACTTACAAGTGTAAACGGGTGGGATCCTTGGGAGTAACAACTTAACGTTAGCGTACGTTTCTTCAGACCAAGTTCCGCTAGTGTAAACGGGCCTTAACAAATGACAAGTTCTTCAGGAAACCTAAAGACTGTGAACATCTGAATTCATTTAATCTATTTCATTATGAAATATCACACCTCCACAGACAGACATCTCCGTCCTTCTGCTGTTTTTATCCTGAATAGCGATCAGAAATTTCCTACGTAATTTCTATCTATTTCATTTAGTGACTATTGGAACTCTATGTCCAAAACGAAGCAGCATTCATCAGAGCCAGCACTTGGGAAGGTGGCGTCCCACGTGACCTGTGCACACCGCTATTCAGATATATATTTCCTGCAATCAAGCTTTCCTGAAACTATGTACATATGTATATAATCTATATTTAACCAAGAATATTGTTTTTCAACTATTTATTCTGCATTTTATTTTATATTTTTCTTGTATTCTATATATGTTACATTTTGACGAATACTTCAACACCATCAGATGTCATCTCAGAGCTCACGTGACTTTGGTCACACCCCTTTCTACATCTCCTCTTCCTGCACCGCTCAGCTCAAGCATTTCTCTACCTGCAGCGCTCTTAGTAGCATCTAAATCAAGACAGCCGGAACACAGCATGCAATTACTGCGTGCTAATCGCGGCTTAAAGAGGAACTTGGAAAGTTTATTCAGAACGTGTTTTCGCTCGCCAGCGCATGTTACGAGTTTGTCCTTGCTGTTACGCGAAGTTGCTGACACTTCTTTTCGGCCCTTTAAATAAGTATAAAGCCGGGTAGGTTGTTGAGTCAATCTAGTTAGCCTTAACTTAAATTGTTAGTGCAGCACTACTCTTTATGTTTTGAATTTATTGTGTAACGATTCTTAAGTTCCATCGCAAGTTGTCGGTATTATTGTAAGCATGAAGTATGTGCCTTTTCTGTTCAGAGTTTGACGAATAATAACGGATTATTCTTACCCTTCTTTTTTGCTTGTATTCTTTACATCTGTTTGAGAAGTCGCCAGGTTTCTTAGTCGGATCTGGTAGAGTTTATGTTACCAAAGAGAGTACGATCACACAAGCCAGCGTAAGGCAGTATGATATGGTAAGCCACTTTCTCCAATCTCTTCAATAAACTCGTGCAATTATCGGTGATTCTGCCCAGTGGATCAGATTGAATTAACAACTGATATGCCTGGTTTTAGAACTTCAGACATATCCAAACATTTTCCGCACAAGGACTGCTGATGGATGACGCAGTGTAAGACTAATGGTTTTGAACCACCATCATTTTCTACAGCCTTTGACAGAAGAGCAACCACTCTTTTATTTTTACCACACATGTTTCTGCCTCTATCAGTTGTAATAGATTTCAAGTTTTTCCATCGAAGGTTCTTTTCTTAATGGCATTTTCAACTTCCTTAAAAATATCTTCCAGCAGTCGTGCCATGAATACTATTAATATTGTTGCGTGCGTACGGTTTCGTATTTTTTTCGTATTAGATTGAATGCACAAGTCTGATGAAAAGTTAATAAAATTTATTCTTATCACAAGAAATATGCGGCGAGCCAAAAGTCCTCTTGAGACGTTGGTGGTCGGGGAAGAGGGATGCTGTCTCTCAAAACTGGGGGCGGAACAGAGCTAAAGTCAAGCGCATTTGACTCCTTGTCATGATGAATGTCGTGGACTTGTGTTTTATCGAGGTAGTATTTTTAAATAGCAGTCTCCTGCACACGATTGTGTTTCCTTACTACGCTATTATATTATTTCAAAAATTCATGGTATGCAAGTTCATATGCAGATATACATTTAGATATTTCGAAATCCTGCTGATTTTATATTTAATGCAAAATATGCATTAAGTGACCTGCACAAAATTCTCTGATCGATGTGAAACATGCTTTTATTTTAAGCATTTTTTCAATGTGTTTCATATTTGTGACACACTCAATTTATAATAAATTAATTACTCCATTCGAGATGGTATATTTTAAGTTATTCGTATCAGCTGAAAGCGCTGCTTGTCTGTAATAGCATAGCTTGTTTTGTAATAATCACACTGCATTTTATGAGTTGTAATTTTTATAATTTCATTCAGTACAAATAAAACTACAGTACTGTCAAATTCAAAAATAAATACATTATAACAACGTTCAAATATCAGTCTTACTTTTTGAACTCATAATCAAATATTTAATAGAATAAACATAGATTTGAATTAGTTTGTGGTCTATTTTAAATCCCTTCATATTTTAACCTGTAAGGCAAGCAATACGATTAAGAACGTGTAAGATTTTTTACATGAGGCATTTTTAAGAAACAACTTTCCAGTTGCTGCAACAAATATATATCATATAAAATACTTACTTGATTTCCACAACAAATTTTAAGCTAGCAAGTGGCTAAAACTGTACTAACGTAATATTTCTGTCTACACATTAACATGTTTTTAATAGTATTATAGAGTAGGTGTAATTTAGCTGCAAATTTCCATGTCGATGTATTTAGATATATTAGATATATATGTATGCCTTTCAAAACATTTCGTCAAATTCTATCAGCTTAGCTTGTAAAAACAATATATTTTTTAGTTTTAGATACTTGCACTTAATTTACAATACATATGCTCTCAGATTTTAATTAACTTTAAATTTGCTTTATACGAATAGAGAATGTTTGTTAAATTCTTTTAAGAATATATAATTTTAACACCTTTAGGGTGAAAAAGAAAAGAGGAATAAACTTTTATTATACGGCTCAAGTGTTATTTTTGGTTAAAAGTAGAAGGGAAACATTTGTAAAATTTTGACCGGTTTATGTTTCGGCAAATTTCGGCTTGTAGAATTCCGAATCTTTACATATTACCTAGTTTCATATAATTTACATATTAATTAATTTTACTTAGTTTCTTATCATAAGCGCACGACTCTTAAAAATGTTACGAACTTAATTACGCTTGTTCGATTTTATAGTGAGTGCATTATTAAATTTGGGTATATTCGTCTTTAAGAATCTGAGAATAAGTGCAAACAAATACATAACTTTTTTTTTATTTCTCATTTTCAATAAAACAGTATAAACATTCCTATATGTTCTCAGGAAGAATAATAACAATCTAAAGTTTCATGCACCTTTGTTTACCCATCTAAATGACTGAAATCACATAATATAAACGTTTGCCCCAAAAAACATGTTTATTGGTAAGATACCACATATTACAGCACTTATCAAATATTTTACTTGCTAATTAAGCTCTTACCTATAAAACTGTATAAATACATTCATATAAATTTACATTTTTAAAACGAGTTAATTCCTATAGATTTATACGCAGTTGTTACAGCAGAATTCTACAAAATTTGCAGATAGTCAATAAAAATTTTCTGTGGTTTACAAGAAATTAAAAGATGCTTTAAAGGATGATTTATCAAATACTTTTTAAAAATTAAACTATGAATAAATTATGAATATCATACTAAACCATTATAATAAACATAATATACGTATTACACAGAAACTTAAATTCATATTTTGTGCAATAACAAGATATTGAAACAATATATTGAATGATTATGTTGAACTAACGAATTTTTAGCAAAATATATTAATAATAAAATTATATAATAACAAATAGCGCAAAGTCGAAGCACACATTTTCGGAGAATAATTTTCAGGAGCCTCTAGTAGCCAACGTTGCTTTCTGCATTTGATGTAATTACTGTTTCTTAAAATGTTAAAATAAAGTTTGGAATATTACTTTTTCCATAAAATCAAATCTTTTGTACCATTTAAACAATCGATAACCGAAATTTAAAAAAACAATACTGAAATGTTTTCAAGAGCATAAAAATAATATATTTCTGATTTTATCTTCTATTAAGAAAATTTAGAACTTCAGATACTTAAATTAAATTTAATATAGTATAAAATTAAATATGACATTTGAAAATATCTTTTGACATTTGAAAAAAGTTATAAATGTCCCACGACACATACTGATTATTAAGACAGGTTTCATCATAATAAATAACAGCAATTATTAGAATGCAAACAATGATTTATGTTTGTTATTGATATAAGAAAGGGAAGAAGATAAACTCTCTCATACGCGTCTACACATTGTTCTAAATTCTGAGATAAAATTGATACATTAAGACAAGCAATTTAAATAAAAATATATTACAATTAAATTTTCGTGAAAAGAAAATATATAGAAAGAAGAAAAGAAAAATTTCCTTTGTACAGATAACGAGATCGAAATCTCTTCCTTAGATTATTTTTCCACTCAGAATAGCTTACATTTTATTTAGATATACACGATTTTCAATCACACTTCTAAAATTTGACTATTTTCCTAACTACACATTATTCGAAATTGTATTAACTGGAAAAAATTACTACGGCTATAGTAAGTTCACATGAATCAACGGTAAGTTTAAAAATAACAAATAGCGATGTTTCTTCTTATTTTAGAATTAAAAAAAAAATAAACTAAGTTACTCTTACTAAAATATCAGTTTTCTCCAGCAATGAGAAATGTATTTGCAATGCTTCAAAAATATAAGTTAGTATTACAAGTAAAGTAAAATGCGACAAAAAATTTAAAGTTAAAATTAACATCGCAAAAATTCTGTATTTCCCTTCATTATCAAATTATTTTATTTCAAGAAGAGTTTGAAACACAATACAGTAACTTCAAATTTCATTGAAAAATTATATCGCTTTCCTTTTAACTGAAAATAATATAGCACTTCTAACTGTTCAATTATAACTAATCATTTTGGTTTTGAAATTAATTTTTTTCGGAATTTTTATATTTCTAATAAATTTTTCAGAACTTAGTAAAAACTGGTAACAGTAATATTAAACGAAACGTAACAACACATTCTGAAATCGCTCACTTAAGATGTAGATAATGTTGGGGGAAAAAATCGCATACTTTTCCTTAAACAGATACTTTATGCTATAGTCGAAACATTAAATATTTACACGATTTTTGCTTGAATATCACTTACGATGAAAGGTATTAAAATAAATATGACTATTATACTTTCGTTACCTCGGGGAATAAATTAACATAAAGCACAAGATATAAACTTCAACAATTCTAAATTGCTTCTTAGTACATTTAATATAATATAACCTTTTAAAATCATACTATACTTATAAACTAAATAAATAATCATCAAATACTTTGGAAGCAGACAAATCTTTTTGCTAAAACTCATTTCTTTGATGATCTGTATACGGCAAATACAACAAAGCAGTCTGGATAACTTACGTAAAAATAATGGTGGAAATTTATGCTTAACACGAAATACAGATAGGTTGAGATAATAGCTTGTTTAAGAAATCAGTTTTTTTTAAACACTAAATCAAAACAAGACATATTTAAATAGGAATTAATTTATATATCGCCAAAGCCACTGAAAGTACATTGAACCAGTTTCATCAAGTAGACAGTTGCGTAGTTACGCTGTGATGAAACAGAACAAATCCCAATATTCATTAACTAATATATAGCAGTGCACTTAGTCATGCTTAAATACAAAGTAATAAATGGTTATGTACAATATGAAATGGTGTGAGTTAAAACTTATAACAATACCAAATTTAAAACGAAGAAAATGATATCTTTAGATATTAATTGCAAATCAAGACTAAAATAATTCTATGAAATTTGAAACCATAATTAAAGCTTTTCAGTATGCTGCAGAAAAAATTTTAAAGTAGATTTTATTCACAGGCATTTTTTATTGATTTTTATAGTTTTAAATATTTAAATAGCTTTCCGTAAAGGACAAAAGCATTGAATACAATTTAGTTCAGTCAGGTATAGCAAAATTTCTTTACAAAAATAACATAAAACTCAATAGTATGACATTTCTGTTAAACATATGCACATAAAAATGTTTACTTTCAGCATAACTAGACAAATCTGACTAAAATACTTTTTGGTTTGAGTAGGATTCTCACAGAATTTGAGAAATCGTTTTCAGTGTATAATATTATAGAAATATTTATGCAAATATGCATTATTATAAAATTTTTATAGAAAGAAAATATAAATATTTCTGTAATAATATGTTTCATGTGAAAAAAAAAACGATAAAATGTAAATTGATTTTGCAACATCCTTATACTTTGCACCAATATTTACATTAGTTTTGTAATTAAGTTAATTTCGAAAATAAATAATCTAGGCCAACTCAATATATAAGAAATCTAACACTAAAGAATCAAAAGACAGTTATTCGGTTTCACAAATTATGTTACTTAATTAAATTTGAAAAATTACGGTAATAACATATTCTAGATATAATAATTGGCTCCACTGTTAATAAAAATAATATATTTTAAAGCAGCCAATCTAAAATCAAAATGTCACAGTGACAGGATAAGCATACTAGGATGATATTTCACCTTATGATAGGAAAAAAAGACTTTTCTTTGAATAGGAAATACTCGTTTACGAGTTATTCTGCAAGTAATCTTTTTTTTCTCTTAAAAAGACTTTTAAGACAAGGATTTTAGCATGATGATTATTAAAGATAACGTTTTTAGGTTATAAATGCCCCCTTCCCAGTTCAAATAATTAAAATAAGAACTAACCTATTCACATAAGAAACGAACTTTAAAGATGCAAGATTTGAACACTTGATGTCTATAGCCGATCGTAGTTTCAACGCAGACGGAATACAGCATTTTGAATTTACTGAGCTCAGTTTTTGTTAACAAAGCGAGCCTTTCAAACTCGACTCTATTCCTAAGAAAAGTAAGTAGTTAATGATTTTCAAATTTAAATAAACTTGATTAACAGGGCTTGGGCACAGCAGACGCTTTGAGGAACGTTTAGTTTTCAAATCAATAATTTGGTTTTCATATTGGCTGTATTTAGCACAGAAAAAATAGCTTGTATATTACATAACATAATATAGTACTGAATATTATAGCAAAATATAAGTATAAAACTAAGCTGATATTTAATGATAATAAACGAGGCAAATTTATTTAATTTCAATATTCGCTTCATCAAGCATAGTCAATCTTCATTTGGAAGAAATTACAAAGACAAATTAGATCAAAATAAAGAATATCTTAACAGAGACGTTAACAAACATTGAAAATGTTTATTAACGTCCATTCACGTTTCTCAGCGTCACATTCAAAATGTTTATCAACAGCAACAGAACTCATCTATAATTTTTAGCACAATTATTATAGAATATTACATAGAAAGTTATATTTTGCACTTTACTATAGACTATTACATGAAATGTTACATTTCGTAAGATATATTGAATTCTAAAAAGCATGCATGTTTTAAATCATGAATTTTTTTTTAAAACAGTGCTTGCATTGTAAGAGGCCCCCCGGTGACGCTGTGGCTAGCGCGTCGCGCAGGAGCACCACAGGTCTGGAACTCGATCCCCGGGCTGAGGAAGGCTGACTCAGCCTTTCATCCGTGAGTGAGTCGATAAAATGAGAACCAAGCTCCCTCGGTGCAAAGAATATGTTCTAGACGTTTTTTGGTCCTCAAGCAAAGAACGTCTGGAACATATTCTTTGCTTGGGGACCAAACACTGGAGGTCCTGCGACAAGCTGTGCAAGTTGACCATTTGTCCAGGCTAAGATGCACAAGCACCCCGGAGCCCACGGTCTAGAAAGCGTATATCAGGGTACTGCCAGCCATGGCTCTCTATGGATTGTGCTGCCGAGTTTACCTTTTAGATTGCATTTTAAAGCAATTTAATGTTAATTATTCTCCATTTATGTAAATTATTCTTAAATTCTAGCATTTTATTTACATTGCTACTGATTTTTCACAGTTTTTCCTACAAAAAATTAGCTTCTCGTGTAAGTTAACTCATATAGAATAACAACAATAAATTCAGAAACGGTCAAGGCCTGATTAGTGCCCAGATCCAGAAGGGCTGGGCCTATGATATTGTAAGCCTAGTTTTAGATATTGTAAGCCTATATTTCCCTACAAACCTGTTTTTCTGTTGTAAAAGTGGATTCTAAGGGCTTCGGACCTAGGATCTGAAACTGGCTTAATCAAGCCGTAGAAACGATTGATAATAAGAAAGTACTCCAGGACTACCAACATAGTATGAACTAATGGAGATTTTTATCTCGTTTTTTAATTCATGGATATATATATATATTTAAATATTTAGGCTCGTATTCAAAATTCTACAATTCAGAGAGCTAGAAGTTTTTGACAAATTCCATCATTGCATAATCTTGTAATCAAAGAATAACTGACGAATAAATCGCTGCTCTTTTACTATGAAATAACTCCTCATAAGAAAATAAATAACTAAAACATAAACAAGAAAACCTCTAGCGTATCAGTCACAGAAATGACACTGACATTGATTAAATTTTAACCACAAAATTTTCTTTCCAATTTAGAAGTAATTCTACATTTTGTTTTACGTATATAGTTTGAGTTTTAAAAGAAATGCTCTAAAAGTGTTCCATATTTAACAGCTAAAGTGGACAAAAATATGTCTTTTCAGTTTTGAAAATCTTTTAATAATATAAATAAAGTTTCAAATAAATATAAATAAAATTTAAGAGAGACTTAAAGTCTGTCATGAAGCAATTATGTATATTTTAAAATTAGGCAAAAGGGGGGAACCTAGTTTGCAGTAGATAGTTGCTGTATTGATTTTGAGAGCAATTTTTCCTGGGTGCTTCAGAAAAAAAGTCCTAATTATACATGCAAAATTTCTTAATTATATTTAAAAAAGTACCTTAGAAATCTTTAAACGTTTGCTTCTATTATGCAAGCTCGTGAGGAGTTTCGTTATAATCTTTTCTGAGACACTGCGAACCATTCCTACACAAATACTTATAAAACCAAAGGTTTCGAAGCAAACATCAACATACATACTTCGTATAGAAGCCTATTACTTTCATGCTCAGCTTAAATTTATCAAGCATGAAACTCTATGTACAAATATTTTTGGAAATTACTGTAGTTTTGGGAACATCTCTAATTCTTGGTGCTTTTGAAACGTCGAATTAACACTTACGTATTACTAACTTCACTCCTTATTATTCAACAGCATTATAATAATGATCATTATCTTAAAAAAATACGAAACGCCAGTGTACCATGAAATGAAGATCAGTCGCTAAACCTCCAATATTATTATTTACGTGTTCCACCCTAAGGCACTACACGGAAGGGAGGGATGCCTTCGTGAAGGACTTTCTAATGGAAACTGGCTCGTATTAACACGCTTACACAAGGGGAAAACCAAGAAAACGTACATGCAGCCAGCCCGTACGCGGGAATCGAACCTCGGACCGAACTACCACCGTTCAGGGACTTGATCGCTCGGTCGACTAAACCTTCACTACAGAAGCATAAGCGTATTAAAAGAGAACGTGGATATGTTTTGCAAAACGACTAATAACAGACTTATTTTGCAATGCTCTAGAGCTACAAAATAAAAGCACGTTGTAAGTGTCTTTTAAAAATTAGCTATCCTCATTTTATTATTTTATGCGCTTATTTTTTCTTTTAAATTCATTGACGAAAATTTTCTTATTTGCTATAGTTTTTCTTATATATTTTACGCATTTCCATCAATAAAAGGAAAGCTTGACCAAAGGTGGGGAAATGAGTGCTAAATTAACTCGAATATATAAAAAAAAGTCGTTTAGGTCCACCGATTTTAGCTTATGTAATTAATAATTATGTATTCAGAAAAGCAAGCACAGCTTCATACAATAACTCGCCTTAAGGTTAGGTTCGAACTAATGAAGTTGTTTAATATTCTATATGTTTTTCATCTTAATACAGAGTTCCTTCACAAAACATTTTAATAAATACCATGAAAAATTATTTTTCCTACACGCAACGCAGATTATGCATATTTATAAACTTTTCAGCAACAATGTTAAGAGAAAGTACGTCCATTCAAATACCTAAATAAGAGTAAATTTCTTTTTAAAACTAATACATACTATTCTTTAGTTTTACTTTTTAGGCAAAGAACAAAACTACGTCTAAAGAGGAGGCGAATATTTTTTACCAAGTATCCCTCCTATAACACGGTAGATAGGTTCTCAGAAAATACCGTATTATACGAGACTAACAACGAATACAAAATAAAGGGATGTGTACTAGAAACGGTTTTTTTTTTTTTTTTTTTTTTTTTTTAAGATTCTGACTGTTGCCTTATTTAAATTCAGACTTTTTGTAACGTCAGATGCCTTCCCTCCTTTTTAACACACGATTCAAAATTCGTATTTTCATCTACAAAGAAATAAATTTTCTTTTAAAAGTTTTTTTCTTATTTTCAGACATAGTTTGAGACTGAAATGTAATATTGCGATAATTACTGCTAAAAACGACAAATCTTAATTCGTAACACATGCCCCAAATATTCTTTAAAAAGTTTTATCAAAATCACAGATACGTAATTTATGCCATCTTACAAATGGACATTTGGAGCACAAGATAAATACTATGTAAATGATGGGTACGACTCAGTATCAGGATTTTGATGTGGGAGAATGCGGGTATCCTGGAAATTTATTTTATTTATGTATAAATAAATAGCTTATTATGTTCTACACGATGGCGTAGTACGTAACTTAATTTTGTAAACGTTTATAATAAAAATCGCATTATCAAAATATGTATATGAATAAAGTGCTTTAAGAGGCTTTATGAATATTCACTGATGTGCTAGAATGAAACAGTGCTGTCGTGCTAGAAGAGGGTGTTCGCAATTTTCGTATCGCTTAAGAGCTAAACTGTGTTGTAGGAAACCGTGTTATAAGAGGGATACTTGTACTTAGTAGTAGAAGGAACATTCATTCCTTAAGTAAACAGGATGTCAACTGATATTTTGATTGTTATTCCTCATATTATCACATTTGTAACATTTCTACTTCAGTATTATGATCATATACTTCAATAATGTAAAACTATTGTTAACAGATTATTATAATCACAGTAAAGATACTGAACTATACTGTAAAACTACATCAAAGCAGCAGACGGTTAAAAAAGGGGAGGGGGTTAACGCGAATAGGAAATTCGAAAATGACACCTACAGTTACATCTTTTACTACTGATGCAAAGTATGAATGTTAAGATTCCAATTTTTGCCTTCTTAAAACCTCTTTACTGCTGCTGGCATTCTTTATACTTAATTTCATTATGCCTACGAGCACTTATGCTTTATAAGCACTTGCACAGAAGCTTCTTTAGGAAAAGAATAGTTTGTGCAGTAGCTAATCCTTTATTTCTAAGAATAATTTATAAATACATATATAATTATGGCAGGTTCCAAGCCTAAGTAACATTAATAATGCTTCGTAAACTCATACGGTGCTCTATAAGTACTAATCGTCTAGAATGTCAAAAATGTTACAGCTGAGCCTGTATATTGGTGTAACATATTTTATAAACTATTATGCTATAACCAAACAGTAGAAGATAATAAACTAATACTTGTAAGACACAGGTAGTAATTCGTCAGTAAATAGAGATTTTGAGAAATGAAATGTTTGAAATATTTTTTAGGTCTAACTTGCTCCACCTTCCATGAGGTATACAAACAGACAACTCTTGTGTGCCTTAAGATATTCAAATAATCAACCAATCCATAACATATAAATGAAATAAGTAACAAAATTCTAGGAACTTGATGTGAAGGGAAAAATCTCCCCTTTGAAAAATGAACATATTTTTTAAAATTCATACATATTGTGAAAAACCTTAAATGTTACTTTCCTTAACCAAGACAAAGCAGAAAAGCTCAATAAAGTAGTTTTATTTCAAAAGACTAAAAACATGGTCACAAACCAGCTCTTATTACAAACAGAATGACATTTTTTATTACAAACATTAAAATTTCATCCAGATTTAAACGTTTTGAGATTTTGCAATTTTATTTAAGGTATTGATCAAGAAATAATACAAATTATTTTGCCAGGAATATTTGGATTAATAAAATGCCACATTGCCTGGCAGTTTCTATAAATAGTCCATATTGATAAGACTAATAATTCACAGTAATGACACCAAAGACATGCAGTGATGGCTTAAAACTACAGTATAATGATTAAATATCCATGCAAATGAAGAGATGTTTATCTTCATACAAATATGTTTAGTCATACCAAAGCATAAAACTTGTCTTTGATCTAATGTATAAAAATACTTACAGGAAATTACTCCCTTAAGCTAAAAATGATTCAAAAGTTTATTGCTTAAGGTATCTTGGGAAATAATTTTAACTTAACTACTTCTTAACTTTGATTTTTCTCAATGTAAATTATTTATTGCATTGTTTAATTTTACTTGACATAAAATTATAAATTTTTAAAGGCAGAAGGATAATTATGAAATACATCACTTGAAGGAACTTTTTAAACAATTTTTTAATAAAGAATTTTCACAGCGATTAAGTAAAATAATTCATCGTAATTGTGTAGGAATTATAGAACTACCAAGTAAACTTGAGTTATACAATAAAGGAAGTTACAGTAAAGCTGGTACTTCAAATAATATTCGTGGAAGCAGAATTCGCATAATGAATAACATGAGATCAACTTAGTTATGCAGCATTCTCAAACTTGCAAGTACTGGTTGACAGAATCCTACATCATGATAGTGAATAATGATTAAGCTCAAGAAAATAAAGTACATAAAAATGAAAACTGTTCTGTTTATGAATATACTAGTCATCTCTAACAAATCAGATGATTAAATGTTATAAAATATTAGCAATATATTTCACACAAGGCACATTATCTTGCAGTGCTTATTAAGTGAAGAAAATAAATAAATAAAGCTAGTGAAAATATCGAACGCCTGGTGAAGTTTCAGTTTTCCGAAAATTTAAGATACGCAATACTAGAGGAAAAAGATTTCTGAGATTTTTGAAATATTGTACTACATTCACAGAGTTCCTACTCAAGCCAGATAGCATTTTCTTATCTGCTTCTACTCAAACCACACAACTTTTAATTTGTTCTGAACATAATAAAATTATATGAAAATTCAAATTCACTTGTTCACAAGACATACAATTGCATTTTTCTTCACTAAAAATGTAAAAGAGACAATTATTCTATATTTTACCTGATATAATGTTATTTTTGCTTAAAGAAATTTGAAATAATTCACATAGGAAAAGAAAAAACAAAACATTGAAAATGTTTCGTGGCATACAAAAATTCTTAATTTATCACAGCATTTTATTGAATGATGCATGGTTTTTAATAAATAAACAGCAAAATTATTATGTGAGTGGAAACAACTTAGCTTTGTTAATAAGTATGCAGCACAATATCTAGCATCTTGAACAATAACATAAAACAAAACACACATACATACACATACGCGCACAAAACAGATGAGATGCAGGTCTTGGATAAATGAGTAATTTCAGACAATGATGCCATTGTAATAAATCAAGACAAAAAAAGCAACCTATAAACTAAGTGATATTTTGTATTTAAATGCAAGAAAGTAACCTTCAATACTGCATACAAATTTATCTGAAATATGTTCATCACCTTTCTTCACTGGTTAAATATAAGAGCAAATTAAATTACATTATGTTTATTAGTTGTACAAGATTTTGCAAAAATTAAAAATTGTTTACATTGAAGCTGAAAAAGCTATATGACAGTAACAAACTTCCAAATTTAAGAAATAAAATGAAATTTTCAAGGACAATTACATGCTAATAAATACAATTTTTAAGCATATAAAAATAGGATTAAATCTACAAAATTAAAAAATTTACGTTCATAACTTTATGAATACAAAATGCATACAGCCTGAGCACCATTGGGATGCAAGGTGATAAATAATATACTTATTTAAAAATACATTTGAATTAACTCTCTAATAAAAATTTATATATTTATTGTTACGTATTCATTAATTTCAAAATAACAAACTATACTAATAAAAATGATATAAAAGATACACTGAAAACAAAAACTGAATCATAAATATTTAACATATTTATAAGGTATTATTAGCAAGGTACGAAAAAACGTGTCTTTTACATTTCTTGAATTCTACATCAAAAATGATATATGGGATAACAATTTAACACTAAGAACAAAATAAGTACAGAAAGCTAAATAAGTAAAATGCATTTACTAAAAATGCACTTTTTTTTTTAAAACAAGTAGCATTGTTTTAAACAAACAATTATTTTTCTCTGCAACAATTTTTGGTATTTATTAAGTACAAAGCTTTACATAAGGGAAAGGTAAATGAAATGAGTATCATTGAAATTAGATGATACATTACAAACAGTACTACATCATCATAAATGGCCATTTTCAATGGAACAAAGATAAAGATGCTTCTGATTTTATTCTAAAATTTCAATTACTTTCAAGTCATACAGACACAAAAATTCGATTCTCTTTCAGGTCTGTTAACTTGAAATTACAATAAAATGCAAATTAATATAATCAGATTTTTAATTTTAATAACTGTCCTACATCATTTATGATTGTGACATGGATTTGTGTCATTATTGGCACATTTCAAAAGGCATTTAAATGACTTTTCCATCATTATTTAACAGGCAGAAAAAGCTTTTAAATTCTTAAAATTCTTCACATTCATCTTTATAAATACTAAAACATTTATGAAATTATTTACACACAAATGAAAACTTATCATTTACTCGAAATTTCAGTAACCAGTTCTTTTAACGAATTTTACGAAAAAACAACATAGCTTGTGCAAGGTGGGTTTGGGCAAGGACGGATATAACACATAAATTCAAACAATCTGACAGAATATTAGATTATTAGGTTCATGTGGCTATCTACAACTTTCTATAGCATGGTCAATTAAGTAGAAATAACAAAAATTTTGAATTCAGTTTTACAGATTTCTAGCAATCATCGAGCACTTTTCTAACTGAAAACAATTAGTAACAGAATTGTGCTTTATGTAACTGAAGCTGATAAAGATTTGCATACATACCCAACTGAATTTAAAATAAACTGGTTATGAAGACATATTTAACAAATCACCTGACACCAAAATAACAATAATAATTATCTGAGAAAGTATATCTATTACAGGACTAATTTAGAAAATCATTAATCTCTGAGCAACAGCTCTCTTCCTTGACTGTTGCACACTTAGATGAATTTAAAATAAACAAATTATTTTAAAAATAATAAATCAACAGCTAATTAAATGGTAATAATCATTACCTGAGAATTCTTTACTATTACTCATGACTAATTTAGAAAAGCAGTCATCACTGAACCATAACTCTCTTCCTTCACTCTTCATTATTTAGTTGAATTAAAAATAAATTATAAAAACAAATTTATTAAAATCACCAGGCACTTAAATAACAATCAATGGATAATTCTTTACTATTACGCAATTGATTTATAAAACCATTTTAATCACTGAAACATATCTTCCTCCTTTCACAGCAGCCTACTTTGTCGCATTTCAAATAAGTAAATTATAGTAATAATTTTCTGAGAATTCTTTACTATTACATGACAAATTTAGAAAATAATTAATCTCTGAACCGTATCACCTTACCTCCACTGTCGTCTACTTTACTGCATTTAAAATAAATAAATTATACAAACAATTTAAAAAACCACTGGGAACTTAAATAGCAATTATCACAAAATTCTTTACTATTACACATGACTAATTTGGAAAAGCATTAATCTCTGAGCTACATCTCCCTTCTTTCCCTCTTATATTTTTAGTTAAATTTAAAATAAATAAATTATTAAAAGAAATTAATAAAATCAGCAAGCATTTAATAATAATAACTACCTAAAAACTCTAATATTATTCGTGACTTAGGAAAGCATTAACTCTAATCATATCCCCTTTCTTCCCTATTTCACGCCCAGTTAAATTTAACTTATTATAAAAATGCATTTAATAAATCAATAGGCATTTAAATAATAATTACTACCTGACAACTTTTTACTGTTAAGCATGGCTAACTTTAAAAAAGCATTAACTTCTAAACTATATTTTTCTTCCTTTATTATTATATACAATTTGTTTAACGGCATTATTGGTTCTAATGCATTCCAAATTCTAAAAGCATTTGTTGGAATAAGAGAAAAATTTCCAGTAACCACATTTTTTTTTTTTTTTTTTTGAAGTGAAAGGTTTATGGAAAAATTACAGGAATTTAAATTGGTATTATTCTGAAATCTCACATTCTTACATTTCCTCAAACCGCTAACGGTGACAAATTAATGCTTTTTTCCCATGAGTTGCAACTGTCCGTTCATTTTATTGTTATGAGATTGGCAGAAAAGCAGAACAGATATCTTATTATACTTCTTACAACAAAGAATATGAAATAGTAGTAGATTACTTTAAATCTATTTTAAAACAGATATTGAAAACGCTTCCGGTAAACCAGTATTTTGCCAAGAAGGAAAAGAACTGGATGTGAGATAAAGACATCTACAGAACAGCATACAAGTTAATGTTACACAAGGCTAGCACTGGACTTTACACCGCCCGGTGCAAAGCCTGCCACTCTGAAATTCTGCCGTCCGATTCTTTCCTAAACATTTAGCTCACCCTGATACATTTCATATGCAGCAACAAAAAGTCCCTTATTAAATACTGTGCTTAAAAAATTAGATATAAATCCACCTGTTTGACTTGTTTATTGCAATTTCTAGATTTATTAATATATACACAGCAATCTTATGCAAAAAAATTTTCTTTCAAAATCTTAAACTACGACTTATTAATAACGCAAAAGATGTGCGTCATTAACCTGTCGTGAAAAGCGTTACATAAATTGCCACATAAACAATAATTATAACTTGATACTACTTGAAATAAATTCACTCCATAACTGATATTTTGCAGATGAAGGCCAATTATACAAAGCTCTTTCTTGAATCCTTACATAACCGTTAAATTTGCTATTGAAAGCAGAATTTTTAAAATAGGAAAGCAAATGTGGGCATTAGATTGTAAACGTTTGCAGTGCCTGCTTCCGCTAAATGAAGTCAGAAATCTTATATGAAGCAAAACTTAGCAAAAAATTTTCAGTCAGAAAGTTTGCAGCATCTTCTGTTTAAAACGAAATAACAGGTAGCTTGCAGATAATCACTATACACATGATAAAAATGAAATTTAAAAAAGTTAAAATGCCTTGTTTGATACAGAAATATTTTTATGGAATAACAAGAAATAAGCACGAAAAATTAATAATCCGCTTAATTAGCTAATTTATTAAAATTACACTGCCTGCATGTTTCACAAAAATTCCAGATAAATGCAACACATTTCACTGACGCAGTACTTTGGATGGTACTTTTCAAAAGGTTCTGCAAATAGAGATGATAACCAACTTCCCATTCTTTGGTTACCAAATAAGACGGAAAGAGATAGGGAAAAAAAAATCAGTATTGTGAAATAGTTGTTAAGCATGCCCATACATCAGTAACACTTTATGCACAGGTAAATCTAGTGATTACCAGGAATATAAAAAACTGCTTTAACTGTAATAATGTATAAATTAATTTTAAAACGAAAAGAATTTTTTGCATCTTGATTTTTTTCCCAGGCTTGGTAATGTGATAAATAGAGGGTCACTGCATCTGTCATATCTTCCATGTATAACTCCTTAACAATCTCTGTCCATTCTCATACACAAAGAAGCTACAGCCATACCAATATATCCTGTTGCTCACTTGCTCTCTTTCTCCTTATCTATATATTTTCATTGCTAGCATGAAATATAGTAAATTATCTAAAATACTATGAAATACAAATACGTACAATGTGTACTCTGACAATGTGGACAATGAGACAATGTGGCCTGCTATACAAAAAATATAAATAATTATTTATATTATACCTATTAATCTAGTATCAAAGAATTCAAGTGTGCATCCCAGTAGACAAATATTACAAATATTATTTCACTAGTTTTATTTAAAATGCAACATTCAAGAAAGAAGAATCTGATGATTTATGCATATATGCTGTTGCTAACATCCAAGCTTTCAGGTGGGAAATATTCAATACCAAATTTAAAATACAATGTTGCAGATGAGAAAGAAACAAGATAAGGTTTCAAATAATAATAATAATAATAATAATAAAAAAGCTGCTTTGGCTGGTTTTCAATGACTGAGGCAATAAAAAAAAACTGAGATTTTTTTTATTGCTGCTACAGATCAGGTCTAAGAATCATCTTTGCCAGAAGGTAGAGAAGAGTTTCACTTTGTAAGTGACAAAGACCTTGGGCACTAAATTGGTAACAGTTTGACTATTTTCCAGCTCTATCCCAATGTTTCTGTGGAACAACTCATGGGACGGAAACCGAAGGTCTTACACTAGTTTTCCTCTACCTCCAACCTCTCAAGAGGGCTTTCGATTCGGCTGACTTTAAGTGCCCTGCATGTGATAAAGACATTAGAAATTGACAAAAGGAAATTCTAGGTTTTCCTAGGAATTTGAAACTGGGACCAATGATATAGCATTCAACTTTGCTACCTACCATATCAACCAAGATGGGCATTGCTACTAATGTCTAAATAACCAAAATAAATAGAAGCTGAAAAATATGATGACACATTTTGAATGATGAAAACAATTTAGTTTGATTTCTCAATATGGAAACTGCTATGAGATTGTTTGAATCAAATTTTGCAATTACTACATTTGCAAAACAAAAACAAACAAACAAACAAAAAAAAAAAAAAAAAAAAAAAAAAAAAAAAAAAAAAAATTTAAAACTAAATTTACAATGAAAGAACAGAATTAACACAGAAAAACTACATGTAAATTTGTCTGCAGTTCTAGAACACTTTAATCAAATGTTAAAAGGATGCATTAAGACTTATAAAGGAGCCCTATAGAAGCAGTGCTATCTCTTAGATTAATTTACTTCAAAGCACTGGCTAGTCAAATTGCCTAGAAGACATCCAGACAGAACATGGTATTCTTTAAACAAAAGTGTCCTCAATAGTATATAAGCCTCCTCAGCTGTAATTATATTAAAAAATCTCTCTATTAACCAAATAAATTAGCAAGAAAACCTAAAAGATTGTATTTCTTAGGAGCAGCCACTGCATTATAAACAAACATCATGAATAATGGCAGGAAAATGCATGAAAAGTGCACTATTTTCAACATTCTAATCAAACTTGACCAAAAATGCAAACATATAATATATTTCAACATGAGAAATTCATTGTTTGCTTGACTGGTTGTCAACATGTTAATTCATAAACTTGGTCCAACTTAGGATGCAATTTTTAAATTTCCAACATAATTACACAGACTTACTAGCATTGGTATGGTTTTGTTAATGGATAGTCCTTATTAAAAGAAAAAAAAAAAACTTTTACAATTTCATGATTACCATGGAGAGTATATAGCTGCCAATACTTGCTGTATACTACTGCAAACATAGAGCATTACTTCAGCAAAATTTGAAGACTTTAGGTACTGTCTTTAAAATGGGCCAGATGAACATGGACTGGAATGTTAATAAAACATAAAATATATATTTGATATTCTAACATTATTATTATAAAATCAGACTGCATACATTTCCTTTTTACTATGACAATGTCTTCTTAACTTGTAACTGGCAAGTGGCAACTTTCAGACTACAGCAAGTCCCCTTTTCTCTACCCAAACAATTATAAGTGTTACACTTAGATTTTCAAAGATTTTTGCTACATTATTAGTGAAAGATATGGCCTCATGCAATACTTTAAAACTCTGACTATCTTTTATTTTATGCTCTTAGATAGATTAACAAAGAGGCAGCTTGCATGTCACTGGGAACATGTTGAAAAGTTACCTCATCAGCTAATATTGAGAAAAACAAATTTTGCACAGCTCCTTGCAAGCATGAAAATTCCAGAGCCTTAATGATGCTGATAATCAATTTCATTTAAAAATATGCGTTAAAAAAGAATTCTCAGAAGTATATTTGAACTGAAACTATTTTTGAAAAATAAACACTCTATTAAAATGTTTAATATTTGTACTTAATTTTAAATGTATTACAGTGCAATAAATTGCTTACCATGCTAAAGAATATATATTCATGCTAAAGAATATATAAGTGTGAAAAATAAATTAATTATATTAACATTAAAATTTCTGAGAATTTTAATGGTAGAAATATTTTAGGAGTATCCCATAAACTTTAAAAAATAACCAAAAGGAAAGAGGAACTAACAAACTACTATCTGAAATTTGCATTTGACAGAATATGGGGATGAGCCATATCATATACATGGAAAGTGCCAAAGACAATTTTTTTGCTGCATAATATGGATTACTGTCCAAAAAAGCAATTAAAGATATTATTCTCACAGTTTTTATTATACCAATAAAATTTGTGGCATGGTTAACTATACTGAATTCAAAAATCAGCCCAAAAAAATCTACAACATGTTATAAGCCTGAAACATATTGCTTTCATAAAGAATTTAGCTTTTAATTCATAAAATGATAATATTATTCTACAAACTGAATTCAAAGAATTTTTTTTAAATCTCCGGAAATACACAGGTTTAAGATCTAGGTAATATTAATATTTTTATTAATCAATAATTTGACTTAAAATTTTTATAAGGTCACAAAATATATTTTTTTGGTTAACAATTTTAATAACCAGTTTTGAAACTAATGAATATTATAAATATTGTTAGACTATTAGCTTACCAATTTTAATATTTAATAGTTATATCAAATTTAAAAAAAGTTTTAAAATTCTGTCTTATGATTCTTATGATTGGCAAGCTATATACATAAAATTTTGACTGGCACAAATACACGTCATGACTCAGTGCCAAAATATTATACTTAATAATTTATGACAAAGAAACAAGTTTAACCATAACATCATTCTAGTTATTAAATGAAAAAATTTGGCAATCACTGAATTGAAAAATAAATCGTAGGAGAAGAGCTTTCATTCTCCATAAATATGGCACAATTTATGTTCTTTTTCATTCTCATGAGAAGCCTCCATGCAAAAAATGAAACCTTACAGAAAATTCAATCATAAGACAGAAGCAGGAAATAATATGAATAATTACATTAGTGTACAAAATAATTACAATTTCTTAGGTGGTCCTTAACTTGATGTTGCACTATAATGAAAGAAATGAAAAAATAAAACTTCAGCTGTCATGAACATGTGTAAGCACATTTAAGTGTGTAAACTCTGATATGAAATCCTGAAATTCCTTTTTAAAGAGTGAAGTTATAAATGCTGGTGTTCAAAAACGTTCTTTTAAGTTAGTCATGAGAGCCACATGCCAAGAATTAAAAGTAAATTACTATATGAAAAATACTGACTGGTTTCAATCTGATATGTTGCTCTCCAAATAAAAGTTCAAAATATAAATGACAAAACATTAATATAGATGTTCTGGCAGCAATAAAAGCTGCCAATAGTGTATGTATAAATCCTAAAGCTGATACTCCTTTAGTTTTTCATATGTTGACTAACACTTAACTTGGACAGAAACATATTTAAATAACATACATAAGAGAAACTGTTTTTATAGTCTATTTTTATTACCTCACTAAAGAGGAATCATTCCTTATAAAAGTAGTATAAAGTAATAACAAAAACCATAAGGCTGTCTTGCACAGCAATAATTACAAAATATAAACTATATACAACTAAACACTTTCATACACATGCACACCTAATAAGTCAAAGCACCTGTCACGCTAATGGCAAAATTGATTAATGCAGCAGATTGAGGTTATAGGCACTCCACAGTGAGCTGATTTTTCTCAAAGTGTAGAAAGCCAAAAGCTTTATGCTCTCTGTTGCATCAGATGTCATCCATGTTCCATAACTTGTAGCACCATAGCTTAACAGCCTTCTAAGAAGTCATGGATTATGTATGTAAGTGATGCAATTGCACCAATATCCTCAAATATTGCCTAAAATGCTGTCCTGGAAAGTTCTAAAAAATGTCACAGAACAACTGACATTTTGTCCATTAATGGCTATACATTTTTGCTGCAGTTCATTTGAAGATTGAATACATGTCTACATTCTCTTCACAATCAAGCAGAAATCTTTATCAACTCTAATTGATAAACTTTATTAAATCAGAACCACAAATTTCATTGCAGTACAGATATTCACCATTCTGTAACTAGCCAATCAGTGATTAACAAAAATCACCATAATAATGGCACTCTTCAACTTGAGCAACAACTTCACCAGACTTGCTGGCTGGACAGCATAGACCACAGAGGTCCAATTATTGCCAGATAAGGCAGGCAGAGAAACAGTAAATGATGGATGGAATATTTCATGATAAAGAATCATAGTTGTGTATCGCCCATGTCACACAAATTCCTGGATATAATGTACTCTAATAACCCTCGATATAAGAAGTCATACTGTGCCTGGAAAGAGAAAAAATAACTTAGAAATAACTTAAAAGCTCATTAAATAAACATTTCATACTTTGCAATGTATAATGAAAATTGTTTAAGAACATGTCTAGCAATAATTTTAAAAAGTGAACCACATAAATTGACCAAGTCAAATTACTTTTCAAACAAACTCCATAAAAATTTAAATTCTTAAAATTTTAGTAAATGTTTTAATTTAAGAATCGAACGAGTTTTTTAAGAGAGTCATTCATACTGCTTCTAAAAGAATTTTTATGACCATTACAAAGGCCATAATATGAAGTTAAAAAGCACTATTATCTTTATACACATACCAAACTATTGCACAAAGTTATATATTCACAATGAAATCACAGAAGTTAAAGTTAAAGAAATTTGAAAATGATCAAATAAAATAGGGAGAAGGAAAAGGATATTAGTAGCAGAAAGGAGACTCTCTTTGGCACATATTAAGAATTTTTACATTATCTGTATTAAGTATAAATAAACTGTCTCAAGTGTCTAGGGTTAATATATTACATATAGGCATATTAAACATAGGCTATCAGGCACAAAACACAGATTTTCCACTTAAATACATTATGTTAAAAAAGGCAGATACCTGTTTATTTCCTTAAATATTGGTTCCATAAATACATTTTTCCAGGCACAATGTTTCTCAGAATAAGGAAAAGTTTTATAAAACCAGTTTCAGAAAGAGGAAGTAAGAGTTTTGTTAGATGTAATTTTTTTTTTTTTATATATATATAATCTTCGTAAAGTAAACAAACAGTAAAAACATTCATTATACTTTAACAAAACAATTATAAAACATCCCATTCCATTACCTACAAAATTAAAAAAATTGCATATTAACACTTTCACGGTGCCAACGATGTTTCATGACAATCACAGTTTTACCCAAAAAGGAGCCCTTAATTGGCAGAACCAGAAGCTTTTGTTTTCTAACCGCTCCTAAATTTGGCAAAAAAATTACAAATTTTCTTCAGTGAAAAATGACATAAGTGAGTAAATTCACTTTACACAATATCCTCAGATGCTGCACATTGAACTATAAACTTATAGTATGAAATGTATTCAATGCACTGAATATTTTACCAATTTAAAATTTTAGCTGTAAAGGAGTCCTGTAAAAAGAACATTTGCAGAATCTAACCACCAAATGCTGAAACTATTTTCATAAAATTCTCGATCTTATTTTGACAAACTTTGTAGCTATAAATACATATCTAGGACCAATACTGAAGGCAATAAAACATGCAGTCATCTTCCTTGAACACTGCCAGGTTGAGTTTGGAATGAGCGGTTTTTTTTTTTAAACTGTACACATGGACCAAACATGGTTATATTATGTGGTTAGAATGGCGTCGATTAGGTAAATGGCATACTCTTATTCATATAAGAAAATGTTTAGAATGCCTCGTATCAGAAAATTTTTGTCAAATCTAATTCTGCAACAAACTGAAAGAAAAGCAACCAGTCAGTTAAAGTTATATAGCACCATCTGATTAGTGAGAATCGACATTCAGAAATATACTAATAAACAATAATTACCAGTTATACATCATATAGTGTAAAAAAATCCTAGAATGCATTATTTTTCTACCAGCAAAGCTATAAATGAATTTATGTTAATTTATAATTCTATCACATGTGACGGATACTTTCTTTGTTGAAAATCTGCAATACGCACTGTGGTATTTATTCTCATGCTTTGTTTGTTGTTGATGTGGTCAGGCTTGCAACAGGAATGATGCATCCACAATATAGCCTCTAGAGTAACTTGAATTCTTACATAGATTAGAGTATAAGGATGGAATGTTTCCAGCTCTACTCTCAATCAAAAAATTAAAGCAGTTTGACATGAAGGTGGCCATGGTGTTAGTATGAACAAAGCATATTTAGAAATGGGTGATTAGACACTTGTTTCAATAGTGTTGTGTAAATGAATTTTAAAATAACAGCTTAGTAAATTTATAAAATATGTTGCAACTTCCAAAATTTTGTCCTGATATACTACAGATGACACAGATAATTTACTGCATACAGTAAAATTATTAGGAAATCAAAGTGCAATAGGGGTAGAAATAAAGATTTTTACCTAATTTTCTTCAGAACCTATTCTAAACTTTTACAAACATTGAGACATTCAGGCCTGTTAAATCAGAGAGAGGAATGATGCTATGCTACTTGTCCATTTCAGGCCAGCAAAATGTGTTGAAAATGAGTTTTGCCAGTCAGATATGCAACAGTATATCACATAGCAGCATCTCTGGCAATATAGACTACATTCCTAATAGAATAATTTTATGTCACAATCCAGACCAGATGGGCAGCATGTCCTTGGAATGTTTTGAAATGATTTGCATAGCCCGTACTGCACAAGGTGTGATTTATCACACATGTGGCTAATTATATCACAAATAGCCAAGTGTTGTGTTAATGCATCTCAATTGTCTAACAATAACATCAGATTAAGTCCATAAATTTTATTCCGGCCAGAGGTAAGGTTATGCCTGTCCTTGGTTAGATCTTGGGTACCTTACAGATAGTGGTATGAATTTGCCAGGCTCTGTCCCATTTTCAAAGGAGAATCTCCTGAGAAGTAGACCAGATTCCAGGGTTTCCTACTCCTCTTCTCCTTCCACAGCCTTTCAACAGGACTTTTGATTCAACAGTATTTTAAGTGCTCCCATGCTACAAAGGCACTATACATTTTGTAAACATCCATGCATTTGCTGATGTTCAATCCTAGGCTTAAGGCTATTTAGCCAGCTCCCCTACCACCATGCTAACTAGGTGTTATTGTGAAATATTATGATACATGGACAAGTAACATTTATTTCAGAAGCTTTGACAAGATTTTCATACACCATAATGAAAATGCCAAGATTTATTGCAAAAATGGCTAATAATTCTTAATGTGGTAGATATATTCAAGTAAATTCAAACTTGATGTCTTGGGATATGCATTTTGTCATTCCAAGTCTAAGCATGAAGATGAACAGCAAGGTATATCCCAGTAAACCTGTGAGATTTTAAACATGCACCGAGACGATTTTGAATAGATATAATAAAAAAAAGAAAGAAAGGCATACAAATAAGACAAAATTTCATCTGCAATCATGCTTATATGAAAGAAAGGCATTCTATATTTGACTTACATCCAGTGATTAATTTTAGTTATTAACACGTGTTTTTTTCGCATTTCAGGATGTCGATTCATGTCCAATAGTTGATCTCAATAGACCCTTTTTTTCCCTGTCTTTGCAACAAAATTAGATTTAGTAACTGCCCTGATTTTTTCCTAGGGGCATTACAGCCACTTTTATTTGATCAGTAATGTCCCATTTACTAAAGAAAGCTGTAAAATTACAAATATGAGACAGATTGTTTCGAAACTGAATGAGTCTGTCACAGATGAGAAAATTGGCTTTGTCAGGCTAGAATGATTAAGCAAGGTGATTAAGGCAAAGTGCATGAAAGCTACCTGCTTAATGGAAGGAATCCTTCACAGATGCCTTTAAAAGAGAAACTGGGTTTGTGAAGTGTTTTCTAAAGGCTTATATTCCATCCAACTGACTTGGGTTCTACCCTTGACGTAGCAACTTCTGGTGATGTCCAAAACAGTAGCTTATCAGTGCGAACTAAAAATTAGCTACAACCCTTACTATGAGATGGCTTTAACAGATTGTAACACTTAACTTGCAGAGTGAAAAAGTGTCCCTCACATTAGACATTATGACAACACCACTTCCACCAATCTGGAAGAAAAGGCAATATCAAGGCACTCCTCAAATACAGCCTGGTACACAGAAAAGACCCAAAAAGGGCATGTCCAAGCTATGAAGCTGCAGCTCTACAGTGCAAATACCTATGGTTCAAATGAAAGACCATAATAAGAGATGAGAACAACAAAGTTGTCATGTCTTCTAACACATCACACTTCAAAATGCAAGTGGAGAATGATGAGGTTACTGAAAGCGATCAATATATTGTACCTGGAACTAATACAGAACTTTTATTGCTACAGTACACTTTTAGATTCCAAGTCAACCAATATGGATTTTTATCCTCAAGATTTCATACTGCCATATATAATGGTTTCGCACCACAAAACAAAAAACTAACTTCAAAACCATGAGACAATATAAAAGATTACTTCACCAGTAAGAAGTTTTCAAAAGTTCTTCTAATTAACAGGTACTCTGGAGGAATAAATGTTGTTAATCGCTCAAGAAGATTTGAGTGAATTCCCATTCTAACACTTTTGCCACAGAAAAGGCATTCACAAAAATTCATGTACTTAAAAAATGGGACGTGGAAAATTGCGTGGAAGTATGGCACATTGCTCTTGAAATATTAATATCTGCCAGACAACTGAAACTGAACTGATATTTCACTGAAGTTATATACAGAAAAACTAACATACAGATAGCCAGAATAAATGTATTCAAAGAAAGTCTGAACATTTTGTACATACAATTTTACTACACAACATGTAACACAGCAGAACAATTTGCATTTTGTATCAGTTACAAACAGTATTAAATTAAAATCAGCATTCAGATTTCTTAAAGCTTAGTCAATATTTATTTTTAAACCCTGAATTATTGTACATTTGAAGCTATCGCCTTTCTGCAATTAAATGAAAAGATAACTACATGCTAAACGTAAACTTAACAAATATATTCTGCAAACATACAAGAGTTCAAGGCACACTGTTCTTGTTTCAATGTTTATCTTCCTTATTAAGAAAGATACAGGATGATTTTAAGAATTCCTAAAATCTTGTGAGAAGACTATAATCAGGCCTTCTATGTTTTTATTTTGCTGCAACTTTCATGATTTATAGTAGCATTGAAATTTTTACTTTATTGTGACTGTAGGGTTGCACCAGAGACAGTGCAGCTACACTGGGTGGCAGAAATAGGGGTAATGAAATGGTTTCAATTTTGAGGAAATGTCGGGAAGCACAATTTAGGGATGGTAAAATTTTTAGAATTTAGAAAGAGCAATGAGCAGTAGAATTTAAGGGACAGAACTTTTAGAACTTGTCATAGCAGAACACAAAACCCACAGAGATTTTTCTCGAGTAGCAATATGCTTAGTACTGGCCCTGTGTGAATGTTACAGAAAAATTTTATTAACTAGTAATGAAAGGAAGACATAAATTATATATAGAATTTTACATTTGATGACATATAATAATTTAACATTATGTTAATGTCTCACCAGTGTTTGAAGCATACAATGCCTCTGCGATCGAGTATACCGTGCTGCTTGGAAAACATCCACTCTTTCCTCAGCTTTTAGTTGCTGTATGAGAACACTCAAAGTTACGAATACACTACTTCGATCACCTCCACCACTGAAGAATTAAAGGCAGAAATGTTAGTAAATGGTTGTCCAATAATCAATACGTTTGTAATGAAAAACATTTTGGAATACTTTAATCTGTAAAAAAGAGGTAATCTATTTTTCACCTGCAATGAACTGTTATGGGGCCACTTCCTATTTGCTTTTCTTGGTTCTGTTGCACATCTTCTATTAATGTAAGTAAACCCAGTGTGCCCTCAGGAACTGTACCAGCACTACAAGGCCATTCTTGAAATTGAAACTGAGTGATTTTATGTTTTTCATTGCTCTATAAAAAGAGATCAACCTATAGTAATGGCAAAGCTTTTAAAGTGATTGCATAATTTTGCTTCAAAAAGATAAAATATTTCACTAACATGTAAAATTATATTTAGTGCTGTATAGATTAGAAATGCAGACCTTCTAAGTTAAGGCTACTATGTAAAAATGTCAGAGAGAAAATTCAAAGTTTTATAATAATACAATAGCTTTAAAAATTAGTAAAAATGCCTTCTTAAAAGCAACACCAATAATGAATTACACAATAATACAATAATAAATATACATATAACATTTTTATTCTGCAGTTTTTGTAATTTACGTATAATTTATATAACAAAACATCAATTATTTTTATCTAGAATCTAGTAATAGAAATTATGGGCATGATTACAGTTCTTAGATACTCAGCAGTTCATTATAATATCTGAATATAAAAAATGTTCCCTTTAAGAAAACAAACCTAAATAATGGGTCATTAAATATCACACACATATTACTATTTTTTACCCATAAGGATACTTAAAAATGAATCAAGTGGTAAGCACACTGCAATCACAGTAGAAAACCACTTTTCTTTATAAATCTACATTCAGTTTTCAAAGCAAAAGCTTTGCCATGCAGTAATGCACAGTCTATTTATTTGTTAAGTTGTACTCGGTGTTTTCTATATCCTACTCAAGGATACAATTTTCTCATCTTAAAGAAATACAGATACAAAATAACCATAAGAAAACTATATCAGTAGTATAAATGGTGCACACTTATGTAAGACTGAAATAAATAATAAATTATGATGAACATTTAATTTTATGAATGAAATTGAGAGAATTACACAGAGGTGGATTTATGTTGTTATGTAAATTGTCATCAAGAGGGACTCAAACTATTTCATCCAGCTCCCGCTTCAAAAATCCACCATTAGAAATATACTGTAACGCAAAATTTTAAATACGTTATTAATTAGAAAATTATTTTAAAATTTAAAAATTTTAATATGAAGAATAAAATTGAAAGGTGTTAACTGAATTATATTTCCAAGAGTATGGCTTGAATAAGAAGGTAAAATTGCATAAATTATATATACAAGTTAGTTAATATGCATTATTTAAGAAAATTATGGACTAAGTGTAGAATAAAGATTGGCTCCCTAGTAATTTTGAAGATTCCATTTCATAAATTACATCAAAGAAGGCAGCATTTTTCAAATAAATTAAGTTACAGGACCATTTTTTACTTTTTGCAAAGCATAATGATTGCTCTCCTATATTTTTGGTGTAGTATTGCATTAAAAAAATTAACACATAAAAAAAAAAGCTTTTTTCGATTCAGAATTAAATGCATTTAAATTGGAAGTTTCATTTCTTGACAGGGGAGGCCAGACAGATGAAAATTTTGACTTCTTTGATGTTCAATGAGTAAATGATGTAGCTGACCTGTATACTTGCCTGTGAGGGGGATATAATATTTATTTATAATTAAATAACTGCATTTCAGATCTTAAAAACTAAGGTCTAATAACTCATAGTTAATTTAAAGGTGAAAATTTTAATGTGTTTAAGTCTGTGGGAAACACTGAAAATTTTCATACAGCAGGTGACTAATATGCACAGATTGATAAAAAAATATCAAATAAGTTCATATAACTTTTTTAAGAACAGTTCAAACAGTAGGATGACTCGCACACCAAGCAGAAATCAATGCTTTCTCTATTACCGGTTGACTGAACTTCAGCATCTTTCCACTGAGGGAATATTTTATCTCTTCAAATAAAATGTTATGCACAGGAATAAATTCTTCAAAGTAGATACACACTAAGTATTTTTTAAAGAAAAGTTGCACAAAATGTTATTGACTTTGAGGAGCATCAGCAAATCACTGCCATCTGTGGTTCTTTTCCTAGGATTTATAGAGGTACATTTGAAAATATATAATTAACCCTTTCAGGACGGGCGTCCCATATACACATTCCCTAAGTACGTCTCTTAAAGCCGGGCGTCCCATCCACGCATCAGTAAAGATCGCATTCAGAGGACAGGTGATGCGTACAGTAAGACCCCGCTTAACGCTGGGGATACATTCCATCAAAGTAGAGCGTAATGCGAAACAGCGCTAAACGAGGCTATCTTTACATGTAAATATTGGGGTTAGGGAAAGATGGCTAGGAAATTGGTTAGGTATTAAATTTAAAAAGTATGTTTTTTTTAATAAAAATAAAACCAAACATTTATTTCTTAAAGCCCAAATTAATACCACATTATTATTGCAAAAATAAAACAAAATATAAATAACAAAAACGAATATTCTTAAAAAAAAAAAAAACAAATAAAATTCTAAGTCAGTCATATTTAGTTAGCCTTCCGCGTTTTCAGTATTCTGCCTTTTTGTGACAAAAGCATCTAATGTTGTTTGCCTTTTTCTTTTGCGTTGTTCTCTTAAAAGTTCTTCATAAACGGATAGAGCATCTCTAACACCACGCCTTACTTTTGAGCTCCTGTCAAAATTCGGATCATTTTCAATGAATTGATCCATTATTTCAGTTATGGTAGACAAACTCCTTTTTACAAATGCCATCGAAAGTTCTTTTTGCTCTTCTTCTGAATCACTGCTGTCAACATTTTTGTTTTCTTCTTGTTCAGTTAATTCCTTGAGCTCATCATTAGAAAGACTAGCCGATGCTTCTTGAATTATTTCTTCGACATCTTCCACATTTACCCCTTCAAAATATGTCTGTACAATACCGCACCAAACAAGAAATACAAGTACACTCTTTCGGATATGTATTTGAAACCTATCGCTGCATTTTATATTTCGTGGAATCCCCGTATGCTGCGAGTGATTTCGTGGAATCCCCGGGTTGAAATAAAAGAGCGCTAAACTGAAACAGCGTTAAGCGGGGTCTTACTGTATACGCATTTTAAGGTGGAATTTTTTCCTGAAAGCCACTAGATGGCATCCTGTGTCCATTATTTTTGAAATGAACACAGTCTTAGGTTCCTGACCTTGAGTTTGATATATTCTGCTTGACTTTGGCATTTTACTCATCAGCTGTTCGAGGGTGGGGGGCGGAGAGAAAGCATACACAGAAGTGGGCTCTATAAATCGGTGCGTGCTAATGAAAACATTCTCCTATCTGATTTATATCCAATTCCTTTTTTTATTCTATTTTTTCCTCTACTATGTACGGTCTTTTAGGGTTACTGTGCAGAGTTTTTTTACGTTTTGCATTGCCTTCAGATATATTTCGGTTCCTTCTTTTTTTATTTAGGAAAGCCTCACCTCCAGTCTATTATGGCGGGAAGGCGCTATTTATTAGAGGAAGAATATCCTAGTATGGTTAGTGAACCATTTACTAATGCAAATGAGAATACTGATTCATTTTCTAAAGAGTTAAAAAGTGATACTTTTTTCTAAGAGTTACAAAGTGATACTTCTCTGTGCTTCGAGATTTACCACACTCGCTTTCATTTTAAACTTTGTTACTTCTTACTGTAAATAGTCTTTATTGTGATCTTTTTATTAATTTTAAACTTTATTGATGGATTTTATCAATTAAAACTTTGGAATAATTTGAATAGCGCTTCCAAAAATTGTTATAGAAGATAAGCAATTTTTTAAGTATATTTTCATGTAAAATAAAGAAAAAAATATTTTAAGGGCTAATTTTAACATATACAAGAGCTCAAGTAATAATCTAAAATGATACCAAAAATTACGATGCTAGAAGCGAAACTTTTGTTTTTCTGATTTTTGTTATAAAATTAGGCTTAGCGGTGCAACACCTCCGTCCTGTACGGCGACTGCCTTCGATTCTCTTCCATCCTGCACGAGCGTCTTAAACGAAGGTGCGCTGTCACGAAAAGGTTAATGAAATCTGAAGACTTCAAAAACACAGTTTCTAAGTCAGTTAAGTGCACAAACTTTGTAGTAAAAGTTACCTGATCCAAATATCTTGTTATCACAGATATAAATATAGCTGCATTGTTGTTAACCTTTAACATGTACACTCAGAAGAAAAAGTATTTGATAATAAATTCTAGCCTTTACATTCAATTTAAACTTCTCACCACTGTCTGCAACAGTGCTTTCTTTTCTAAGACAAACTGGTGTGTAATCACCAGATACATAGGCAAAGTCCATAAAAACCTATAAAGAATTTTTGCCTTCCCCATTGTGTGCCTTTGTGGTGTAAGTGGCAACACATCGGGCTGGCAACTGGCAGATTCAGAGTTCAAATCTCTAATGGCATAGCTGATTTTTTGCGCTTGGTACTTTCAAAAGCCTAACAGATTATACAATTGCATGAAGGTCGCCCATTCAGTCACTAAAGGAGCTGAGAATAAATTATTTCCAATGATCCTACTCATTTGGTAGGTGAAGTTAATGAAATATTTATATAATTTAATTATGTTAAAAAATGCATTAAATTACAGATGAAGTGAGAATATATTTATAATATGAATGTGCAGATTAGCAATATTCTTTTAATGCCTGTTAATTAGCATTTTAGGATGATGTTTTTCAGCAAGATAAGAATATCTGATAAAAGTTGAATATTTTCTCGTATATTTACGAATCCAGAATGAACTGAATAATTTATGTCAACTTGAATAATGCTAGAAAAACTTATTTGTTCCATGCTGATATTAAGTAAAACCTTCAGTTTATAAAAATCCCAGTTTAAGGGACTTCAAATTTAATGGGGAATTTTTGAATTGAAATCGCTCAATTTGTAATAATCTGTGTTTGTAATTTATTCCATTCACTAGTATACACTTTGCATATGTAACTGCATTTTTTTTAATTGTAAATATACAATAATTGTGACACTGAAGAAGAAACGAGTTAAATATATAAATTGTTGGACAACTATTAGAGGTGAATGCTTGAAAAAGGTGAAGCATGTATACTTACAATTTATGAAGAGAAACAGCAAATAGTGTCCGACATTTGCAAAAATAAAGAACTATTTACAGAATTTGCATTAAAATACTGTGTAGATGGCTTTTTTCTACAGTTTGTATTAAAAAATGTCCAGTGACAAAAACCTATGGAAGGGGATTTACAAGTTACCTTTTTAGAAATATTAAGAGTATAATTATTGTTGACATTGCAGTACTGGTGGACTTGTGCCCTCCACTATGATTCACACTTCTTTTTTAATCACACTGCTTTATTTCACTATGCAAAATTTTCAGTACTGTCACCTTGAAATTCCTTTTACAATTATTATTAGTCATTCATACAATGGAAAAATTATTAAAATGATGCATTCCAACAAATTGGTATTTCAATAAAGTACTTGTAAATAATGATATACTATTTTTAATGAAGAAGAAAGGCATCTTCTCCTGTAATTTAAATTATAATACAGCAGGGGTTCTCAACAAGGGGAATGCTGTCAGCCTTTTACTTGCCTATTAGGTATTTAATTTTAGTTTATGAACATAAAAAAATTACTTTTACTTAAATTTTGGTATTTGTCTGTCTTTTCACTACTTTTCTTGTTTCATTTACAAAACACATTTAAGAAAATCTAAATGTAAATAAATGTATATATATATTTCAAGTTTTGGAAGGAAGGGGAAATGATCATCTAGCAAATGGTGAAAGGGGTGCATGTAGCAAAAAAGGTTCAGAAGCACTGTTATACAGGGTGGCATAAAATCAATATAGACAAGGTAATGCAATGAGTTATGTAAAAAAAAGCTCACCTACAACAAAAAAGGAAAGATCATTATTACCATTATTAATCAGGCAAGTCTATTGACTATGCTTTGCTGCACACAACTCATTATACTACCTTACGAACAAAAACTTCTGTACTGTTCTGAATGGTACTAACTAGACTAAGGTAACTAAAGAAAATTAAATGAAATAAGTGAAATGTACTAAAATGAAGTCATAACATATTTAAATTTTTGCAATAATTGTAACCATAAATTTCAGAATATTTTTCAGTCTTAAAAGTATAAAGCTGTCCAAGGCCCTATTAATGGAAACTATTTGTGAATTTTACATATGCAGTAAATACTGCGACATTATTAAATATGTTCTCTTATTTCATAAATTTTAAAATTCATAAATGGTACATTTTACAATTAAATAAAATATAAAATTCAAATGACTTTTTAAATAAAAATTGATACATATACATACTTGATTTATATCAAGTTAGCTATAAATAAATTAAGAAAACTGATACAGATGCACTTTATTTAGGTATGCCTTTTTGTTATATGCAGTTAAAATTCCAGGGTGAATCACTGCATTATTTTTATAGCAGCTTGCATACATATAATAAAAAAAACTGATGAAAGCTATAACAAAATATTCAAACATGCATACATTGCATGGAAATCTATGCTTCTCTCTTAAGAAAGATAGCATGAAATGTTTTGTGTTAAATATACATAAGGAGTGAACTACCGAATTTTCTTTCACTAGTTAATGGCATCGGATAATATTAAATGATTACTATCAGTGTGATTACTATCATTTACTATCAGTGTAAATCACAAATGAAGTTTCAAATTTTTTTAAAAAATATGCATGTTATATTTACAAAAAGTCTGGCACAAAAGGCACATACAACAAGTGTGAAATTTTTAATATGCAGCTGTATATATATATATAAAAATTGCTTACTTTTGACTTTGTATTAATGACTAAAAATTCTCGTTTTGTATAAAAGTGAAATTTCTCACTACTTTCAAAAGTCACTTTTATGTAGTCACAGACTTTTTCTTCTCCTTCAGTAGGCCAATAAGGCTGACACTTTGTCTGCAAAGTTTAATGCACACACATAAGAAAATATGATTTGAAAACAAAGTACAATAATAATGAACTAAAAAACATTAAAAGATAGTTGAACTACTTAATTTAAAACAAAAGACTAGTTTATAATGACTTCCACCCATTTAAATATATAAACTCATACTTTTAATCTATGAGTAACGTTAAGAGATGTACATATACAACCTGTCTAATTCATTGAGGGGTAATTTTTATTTATGTACAAGTGTGTGGCAATAATAGTATTTCTAAGTAACTGGCAACAGTGATCAGTGCTCTACTGCTTTCTCTTTTATGCAAGACTATTTTGTACTCTAAGACTATTAGGTAGAGTAATATGTTATGCAAGTATTTTTGGTTCTGTGTTCTGTTGAGTGATGTGATGCTATTGTGTAATATAAAATATGTATAACTAAATAGTATATTTTTTCATATATATATATATATATATACAGTGAAATACGTTTAGCACGAAACTACTTAAGACAAAATATCGGTTAACATGAAATAACACAACGGTCCCGATAAACTACTATATATTTTCATGCATTTTTATTTCTCTTAACATGAAAAGATATCCTCTCTGGGAATGAATAAAATACGGAAAACAATGGTCTCGCAGGCGAGATTTAAGAGGGGTGTGAAATGAAAGAGAGATGGTTTCCCATGTTTTGTAGAAAGGAGGCTAACTTGGCTTTAAAATATCCTCGGAATAGCCTGCAACATGAGCCAGTTTTGTTTATCTAAACTATTTTCACCTTCTACCTCCCTACAAACATCTCATCTCTCATCAGTTGGCTTTGGAATCCGGTGACGAGTACATTGCAGTGTGAGTAAAAATCTGTGAGTTTGGTTCATATGTTGCACTCTGCATGTCTCTGTCTTTTCATATGCTGCACTCTGCATGGAATTCAGTGACTCCAAGGATGAATGACAATTGTTTTCATCATGCGCGATACTCAAAAGTATCAGATTCTTTGGCGCCAAAAGAAATGAAGAAGGAGAATATTGAAACTGAGCCGACACTTGATGAAATGTTTGAGATAGTTTCTGTATTATTGGACTGTCCTACTGTATCATCGGAAGAATTCGTTGCAGTAGTTGATGATAATGTGTGTACAGCCTCAATTATAGCAGACAAAGACATTTGGAGTTTGTTCAAAGCTAAAAAGATATCATTGATGCAGATTCTGACGACGAAAATGAAATGAATAATGCAGCTCCTGTTCCCACGTCATCTGAAATGAGGAACATAATGAAAAGTATGCGCAGTTAGTTAGATGCACATTCCAATGGAAACGAATAACAAAATGGATGCTAAAAAAAGATAGTGCAAAGAAAAATATCAGACTATTTTCCAAAAACTCAATAAATGTTTTGTTTTAAAAAAACTTGAAAGTTTTGTATTAATTTTCATTAATTCTTGTAGATGATTTTGTTTCATTGATTTTTATTAAGTACATGCATATATACATATCTATGTAAACAAATGTACTCTAATAAACTTAATTTTGTTGAATATATATATATTTTTCAATATCCTTTAACACGAAAGCATATGTCAGCCCCCTCAGTTTCATGTTAAACAATTTTCACTATATATATACAGTGAAACACTGTTGCGTTTTATGGTTTCTTGTATCTGGAGTGATTGATGATAACAGTTGATTAAGAATCAAAACACAATTTATTCTTCGTATTACACAGGACAGTTCCAAAGACACGTTTACAGTGGTCGAAAAACTACGATAAACACGCTGAAACATGATTGTTGGCTGATTCGTTCTAGAATGCTCTCGCTCCGTCTATACATATCGCGAATTTCGCGCCAAATCTGACAACCCTGCCTTTTCTTGCCACTTTCTGGCAACGCTAAACCCGCTTTATGGGGAAGCTATCTTACCGCACCTGCGCATTTCGCAATACAGCCCCCTCCCAAGGACTTGCAGGTCCCGGGCAGTACAATCCTTGGCCAGAAGCCAAATTCAGTGCAAACAAAGGATCACAAAACAAACAAATAAACTGAGCACAAATAGAAGAAACAAATATTTACAAGTAACTACACACAAGTTTTATACACAAATTATACAGGAAAATTACAATAATTATGGATACCCATAAGGATGAGATGGCCATAGTACGTACTATGGCACCGAATCCGTACCACGAGGTCGTTCAGTTTGTTGAGAACTGTATAGAGACCCTCCCAATGCAGTTTGGGAGAAATACCCTTACAACGACTCGGATTCCAAAGCCACACCTTGTCGTTTTCCTGCAAATGATGTTCGGTAGCTCTTGCGTAGTAAAGTCAAAAGTCTTTAATCCGGACTCGTCGGGACTTCGGCGATTCCGGATTATAGATCATCAGTTTAAATCTAGTAAGATTGCATGCAGAAATTATAAAATTAAAAATATGAAACCGTAATTTATAAAATAATGAGCAATTATGATCTAAAGGGTATCAATATTTACAAAAAAAAAGAAGCTTAATATTTATTTGCTTACTTTGTTAAACATTTCTTTCAACGCGCGCATGCGTAAAGCATACCTTACGCATAGCCGAAATTAGAAAATTGCAACCAGAAAACTATTTGATTTGTATTCGTGATATTTATAATGACGAGGAATTTGATTTAAATCAAATCAAAGACGGAGTACATCGAGATGAAATACTACATTTAGTAAGGAATTATAAGCCAAATAAAATAAAAACATCTGCCCTAAAGATAACGATAGTGCTGACAGATCAACTTCCAGTTCATTGCGCGCCGCAACGTCCCCCCCTCACCTGCGCAGAGCAGCGTGAAATTGATAAACAGATTTCGGAACCGTTAGATAAACAAAGGATATGGCTTTATCCATTTTTTATAGCAATTCGTTTTTTGTTTGATGGACATCGAAGCATACTTTCGTTTTCTAGATCCTTTGGGAGCTCCAGCATCGGAAATTCTATTTGACATAATCGAAAGTTCAAGCCTACTTTTATAAAATTGCTCTTACAGTCTGCAAAAAATAATAAGCCGGATCCAATTCGAAGATTAAGGAACAACGCAATCATCAACATTAACTGAAATAGATAATTAGATAATTTTAGCTTATACGTTTGTTTTACATTAAACGCGCACGCGAAAACATATTCTGCGCTTGCGCAGACACATATGCGTAGTCGTAAATGTCTTGCGCGGACGCGTAAAACGCCTATGCGCATGCGTCAACGCGGCGCATGCGCAGAAAGATTTTAGCTTTGAGGTCCGGATTATAGATCATTCTGGATTATGGATGTCCGAATTAACAACTTTTGACTGTATTTCTTCTTCATCTTGTCCATCGAGATGTTGATCCGCTCGAGGGCAAAATCTGCATACCGTTTCCAACCGGGCCTGGAGATCTTTCACGTACTCCTCAGGCGAGGAATTTACATCCGTAGGGCGGCCGAACAGCAGGTCACTCGGCAGACGGAGATCACGACCGAAGAGCATCTGGGATGGAGAATAGCCGGTGCTCTCATGAACGGCTCTATGGTAAGCAAACAGGAACAGGGGCAGCTAGAGATCCCAGTCTTCTTGGTTCTTGGAAACCATGAGCGGAGGTCGTTGAGGATAGTATGGTTAAACCACTCCACATTGCCATCAGACTACGGTTGTAACGGGGCCGTCTTGATTTCCAATAAGTCGCAGAGTCTCTTGAATACAGCTGAAGTGATGTTATTGCCTTAGTCGGAATGAAATCTGGAGGGAAGTCTCAAACCTGGACACCAAGTTCTGTAACAGAACGTCGGCTGTGGTGACAGCCTCTTGGTCTGGAATTAGGTACGCTTCGGGCCACTTCGAAAATAATTCATAACAACGAGGATGTATTTGTTGCCATCTATGGTCCGCGGCAAAGGTCCGAGTATGTCAAGGGCAATTCGCTCGAAAGGCGCTCCTACGTTTGTATTGCTGCAGCCTTTCCCGGCTAGGTCCCTTCGGCCTTTTCTTGGCTGCGCAGGCATTGCAAGATTAGCACCAATTCTCAACATCGATTCTCGCCGAATTCCAGAAAAAGCGCTCTCGAACCTTGTTTAGTGTTTTCATATAGCCGAAATGCCCTCCTGTTGGGCTGCTGTCTATTTCCTTCAGAACATCAGGTATTCAATTTCGAGGAAGCAGCAGTTGCCATCTCTTATTAGTTCCATCGTCGCTTTTCCATAGTCGATATACAGGCATGAAAGTGGAAGTTGGCAAAAAAAAGGTGAACAACGCGTGGACACAAAATTACACAAAAACTAAATGCGCACGCGCGACCTAAAAAAAAAATTTTTAATAAAATATCAACCTTTTAATATAACAAGTATTAAACATATACATATAATTAAACTAAAATAATACTTGTACTTCTTAATTTTATTCAGAGTCGTAGCTAGGGTTTACAGCGCCCAGGGACAACTGAAGATTTGAAGGACAAAGCTTGAGGTTGGTATTTTTCAATTTCTGCAACACCTTCCTGATATTTTCTACATGTTCCTCGAAACAACGGCCCAATATAATGATGTCATCTAGGTAGACAAGAGAGGATTCGTTAGATAGGCCATGAAGCACTGTCTCCATCAGGCGTTCAAATGTTGCAGGGGCGTTACAGAGTCTAAATGGCATAACTTGAAACTGCCAGAGTCCTTTGGCGGGTAGTGAACGCAGCTTTCTCTTTATCATCGGGATGAATTTCCACTTGGCATTATCCGCTCTTGAGGTTCAGAGTGGAAAACCATTTGTGTCCTGATACGATGTCTAAAGTATCGTTAATGATAGAAAGAGGGTAACTGTCTTTCTTAGTGACATTATTTAGTCTCCGGTAGTCGACACAAAATCTTGTTGAGCCGGCTTTCTTCCGGACGAGAATTATAGGCGATGCCCATGGGCTTGTGGATGGTTCGATAATGCCATTTTCTTGCATATTCTTCAGATTTCTAATCTCTTCCTGTTTTGCGAACGGCAGACGTCTGGAATGTTGCT